TGCAACCATGCTTCGTTATTCCACTCAATCTTAGCTTTTGAGTTCTTTTAAGTCTATATATTTTGCACTTACATGTTTTCTATCATAAATTTATGAAGAGTTATTTAAAAGAAATTTTAGAGGCTAGCAAATTAAATATGAAAAAATCATACTAGTCCGAAAAACAAAACTATAGAAGCTAAGTTGTCATAAAGTCGTACAAGAAATGTCTTCTTTTCTTTGGTGGTGTGTGATCTATTTCATAGGGTCTGCAAGTATTATATCTTTTCTTGAGTTTAGCTTAAGAACGTCTAGATTGCTAGGTTTAAAAACGTGATTTAAGTCGTTGAGTTTAGGACAACAAAAATTTGCATTGAAAGCTCTTAAAATTATGCTTACATATGAACCGCAGCACATTTTTGAGGGCGTTTTTCTAATGCTCAAGTTTTTGCGACACCTTGAACATTTAAACACGTGAAGACTGCAATAGTATCTAAAAATGTTTTGCAAGCCTGGCTAGAAGCTATAGTCATAAATATGTATTTTCCATTTATTAAATTCCCCGGCCCTTTCACAAATCTAAAGGTTAAGCCCAGACGTGTAAATTGTGTGAATGTGAAAATTTAGAATTAATTCGAATGAATTTGAATGAATTACTAAAAGTAAATATAGAGTTACTAGGACTGAGTCCTACAGGTGGAGAGAATTGAGTCGAATAATACATTCCGATCAAGACTGCTATGGTCAGCAGCTCCCGGCTCTTCTTAGCTCACAGCTGGCTCATCAAAATCCAAAAACCCGATATCATGAAATATAATTTCTATACTATTTTCTTTTACTTTCCTAAAATGATCATCCTGGGTTTTCTGTGTCTCATAATTCATCATTTAGAATAATTAATAAGAGAAAACTCAAAAATATAAAAAAAAATAAAAAAGGTAACAAAAAAAAACTCTTTTAGTTAAAATTAAATGTAAAATTAACCAACAAAATCATCTATGGAAGAAGGCAAAAAACCCATTAAATGTTAAGAACAGGATCCTAAGTGTGAAGGCTGTGATCAGAAGTATTTTCAATTTAATAGTTGTAAACATTTAAAAAATCTAGATTAAAACCATAGTTAAAATACACACAATAAAAATACAGATGAACAAACTCCAATCGAAATAGTGTCCTAGAATGATGGAGCTGCATTCTAAGGAGCTGAAATCTCCTTAAATGCCGTAAAAGAGATTTTCAACTCCTTGGCGAATTACGGTCTTCCAACCACCAAAATGGCAAATGTTTGATTTTGAGAACTTTTCGAGTATTCTTTAGAACATGGCTGCCTAGGGAAAGTATTAAATGATACGCAAATTTGAAAAAAAACGTGATTAACCCTGAATAAAGTTACAAAGAGAATTTGATAATGTAGGCGTTTACCGGCTTTTATCCAATGTCAACAACAGTTCTTTTTAGTCAGATCGTTAAAAGATAAAAACGCGAGTCAGATCGATAAAAGATAAAAACGTGAGTCAGATCGATAAAAGATAAAACGTGAGTCAGATCGATAAAAGATAAAACGTGAGTCAGATTGATAAAAGATAAAACGTGAGTCAGATCGATAAAAGATAAAACGCGAGTCAGATCGATAAAAGATAAAAACGTGAGTCAGATCGATAAAAGATAAAACGTGAGTCAGATCGATAAAAGATAAAAACGTGAGTCAGATCGATAAAAGATAAAACGTGAGTCAGATCGATAACAGATAAAAACGTGAGTCAGATCGAAAAAAGATAAAAACGTGAGTCAGATCGATAAAAGATTATGAATGGGAGTCAGAGATGGATAAAAAGAGTTTGATAAATATATAAATTTAATACAATATGGTTTTGTTTAAATAAACATGTTTTAGAAATTGCCCCGATTTGAAGAGTAAAATTTATTTATATTGAGAACCCAACCAAGGGTTCTCCATTTGTATATAGTACCGTATAGTTCATTACTCTCAAGCGGAGAAATAAAGTCTAAAAATTTAATCCAAGAATAAAGCCAAACAACCTAAACCCAAGCCCCAGAAGACAAACCCTAATTTTCTAACCCCAATAACCTTGCAATCCAATGTCGTAACCTTACAGATATTTTAAACTATAACTTCTGTTATAAAGGGTGTTTTTAAAACAAACCACAGGTGATGGTAAAACTCAAAATTAACCAACAAAATCAACGATGGAAGATGGCCAAAATCTCACCAAAACCCTATTTAATGTTTAGAACAGGATCCTAAGTATGAAGACTGTGATCAGAAGTATTTTCAATTTAATAGTTGCAAACACTTAAAAAATCTAGATTAAAGCCATAGTTAAAATACACACAATAAAAAAACAGATGAACAAACTCCAATCGAAATAGTGCCCTAGGATGATGGAGCTGCAATCTTAGGAGCTGAAATCTCCCTAAATGCTGAAAAAGAGATTTTCAACTCCTTGGTGAATTACGGTCTTCCAACTGCACCACAATAGCAAATGTTTGGTTTTGAGAACTTTTCGAGTATTCTTAAAAACATTGCTTCCTAGAAAAAGTATTAAATGATACGCAAATTAAAATAAACGTGATAAACCCTGAATAAAGTTACAAAGAGAATTTGATAATGTCGGCGTTTACCGGCTTTTATCCTATGTCAACAACAATTCTTTTTAGAGTCAGATCGATAAAAGATAAAAACGTGAGTCAGATCGATAAAAGATAAAAACACGAGTCAGATCGATAAAAGATGAAAACGTGAGTCAGATCGATAAAAGATGAAACGTGAGTCAGATCGATAACAGATAAAAACGTGAGTCAGATCGAAAAAAAGATAAAAACGTGAGACAGATCAATAAAAGATAAAAACGTGAGTCAGATCGATAAAAGATTATGAATGGGAGTCAGAGATGGATAAAAAGAGACTAATAAGTGACATAAAAACATAAAGGTCATGTGCAAACCTTTATTTGCATTTGTGCTTTTTTAGAAACCCCTTTATCAAATAATATTAGTTTGAAATTTCAAAATTTATAATTCAAAAAATCATTTTATTTTTGCCATACCTGCCTTTTGTGGATCAAAAACAGTTTCTCCGTGGATGATTTTGGATGAAATATTTTTAATTAAACCTTGATTGCAGTGTAACCCTGCTGCAGGTTTTTACTAAAGAATGTCTGTTCAGTGTTCAATGTCCCGACAAGAAATGAATTGCACATTTCTCAATCCCGGTCATTTTTCCTCAGCAACATATTTGTCCAGAGCTAAATTGATTTCTGCCACCAGGGGGGGGGGGNTTCCAGATGTACGACACATTTTTTAGTAAGCATTAGGGTAAAACTAGCTCAAATAAGAAATTTTAATATTTTAAAATAATTTTCCAAAATGGCCCAGCCATTATACTAGTTTTACCGGCATTTTTCGCCAAATAATTCAAATTATATAAAAACTGTTTTTCATAAAAAGATGCCCTTTGGTGTCTTTATAACAATAAAAAAAAACTCCAATATCCTTAAAGAACATGGAGTTATTAACCTTTCAGTAAATTATTTAAGTCTTTATAACTTCAAATGGGCCTAACAGCAATGTCACTCGAAAATCGGGAATTTTCGCGTTGCCAAACTTGTAAACTAAAATCTCCAAAGCTCAGCCGCCTTGAAAGATATTTAACATTTTTTTTTACTGTGCAATCAATGAGCATCTTTTTATGAACAATTTTTTAATCATAAGTTGCATCATTTGGACAAGCAAGAGGACTGAGGAGTTGAGGAGAGAATTGCAACAGTATCAGTTTTTTTAAATGGAGTTTTTGGCCATTTTTTTTTTGAATTATCAGGAAAATATATAAAAGGTATATTAAAAAATTTGCCACAGAATTGTGTGCCAATTTTTTTGGCACACAACCTGTCAATGCCGTTTTTGCTTATGATATTTCTCAAAATTGCCTTGAATTACCGTTATGGTTTGGTGGGAATATACAGAGTTACCCAAAAAGAATGAGACCTCAAAGCAATTGTACAGAATGTATGCAATGTATATATTTTTTTCTTCTCTATATAATAAAGCTCTTCGCTCATCTTTATATATATATATGCTATGCTTGTCTGTCTCTCCGTTTGAATTCAATATACGTCAAAACGGCTGAACCGATCAAGCCCAAACTTTGTGTGGGACATTACATCACATGACCCCGGGAGAGGTGTGTGGATGCTCAAACTCAAAAAGTTTATGTCCAAAAGTTTTTTTGGTATGTTAGATTTTAAAATTTCGCGAAAAAATATTTTGAAATCCCCGATTTCTAAAATTATTTGATATTGTATGAAGAGCAGATGATCACAGTAGAGCCATAGTTGTTAAAATAGAAAATAGGCGCCCTAAAAGCCTAGGATATATATTTAAATGTTAGCTATAGCCGACCAAACAGCTGAATTTTTTTGAGGGAACCCATGGGTTCCCTTGTAAAAACATAGGCTATAAAATGAAAATCAGCTCTTTAAAAAAATAAATTTTTCCACGGGCAACGCCGGGCACTTAAGTTATACATTTATATACGATTCCATTTAATCTGTCTCAGAAATCGATCTGATCCCTCAGTTTCTCGCATTAAATCCAGTCACAGTTTAGTCGTTTTAACTATACTGAGAACAACATCTAGTCTTAATCCACTCTACTCTCCAGGAATGAATCTCCGAGATGTCTCCAAGAAGTCGGATTGATATGAGAATAATATAATTAATGAGAAAAGAAGACCAAGAGTTGGCAAACACATTTGTTACAGCTCTCATCAGGAGTCAGTATTTTTCAGGATTGATGAAAGGTAGGCTTAATTTGTTGATATTTTTTAGTTTTACCCAAAAACCCATTTATTTCACCCTAAAAATCATTTATTTATTCCACTTCAACGAATAAACTCTAAAACAACATTTCGCTCCGCGCAAACATAACTTCAGGGGGACAAAATCATTTTCTAAAGGGAGGGAGGGCATGATTTTTCGAGAAAATATACACACCTGGCAGTCTTTAAAATGGAAGAGCTTTATTTTAATATTTTCTATTATTTTTCATAAAAACATTAAACAATCTAGAACAATAATATTAGTAGATTAAAAGATCCGAGAATTCAATTATTAAATGCATTTCAAACTATCACAGGGAGAAATTTAATATAAAATAAAATAGAAACTGATTACTCGCAACAATCTCTAATATTCTTATCTTTATAAATTTGCAACCTGATACCACAGAACCATTATATTTCAAACTTGTGATTCAGGTGAGGGAGGGAACCCCCGGACGCCATGAGCCTCCGCTATGCAGACACGAGCCTCCCAGAGTTGCTAGGCAGACCAAGCCTCCGCCTTGCAGAAGTGAGCATGCGCAACATATGAAAATGTGCCTGAGGTTTTTTTAACCTTGTGTTTTAAGTTTAAATAAAAGATTTTTTTGAAATTTTTAGACATAGTGGCATGAGAGGCTTCTCAAAGATGAGAAGTATTTATTAATTATCATAAATAGTGCCTAATTATGACTAATAAAGAGGTATCTAAAACTTTAAACATTTTTTACACGAAAAGGGAAATATTTAGAAAAAAATTTTTAATTGAATTTTATTTCATCTTTTATAATCTTTGATTTTAGCGATACCTTTTTTTGAAGTTTAAATTAAATCTAAAAAAATTGTATTCATTATTTAAATCTTAACATTTTTCAAAAAAAGGTATTGTTTAAATCAATGATTACAACAAAACAAACCAAGTTTACTCCAGAAATATTTCTCTAAGATGAGAAGTATTTATTAATTATCATAAATAGTGCCTAATTATGACTAATAAAGAGGTATCTAAAACTTTAAACATTTTTTAAACGAAAAGGGAAATATTTAGAAAAAAATTTTTAATTGAATTTCATTTCATCTTTTATAATCTTTGATTTTAGCGATACCTTTTTTTGAAGTTTAAATCAAATCTAAAAAAATTGTATTTATTATTTAAATCTTAACAGTTTTCAAAAAAAGGTATTGTTTAAATCAATGATTACAACAAAACAAACCAAGTTTACTCCAGAAATATTTCTCCAAATATCTTCCTTTCTGCGTAAGAAATGTTTAAAGTTTTAATATAAATCTTATAAACCACTTTATGAGTCCATATATGTTTCTAATCATGACAATCAATGACCAACTCATAAAAACCAAGATTTAAAAAAAAGCTGTGCTGTATGGTGGAGGCTCGTTTACTGCATAGCGGAGATACGGTCTGCATAGTGGAGGCTCGGTCTGCCAAGCGAATCTGGGAGGCTCGATGTCTGCATAGCAGAAGCTCATGGGGTCCGGGGGTTCACTCCCTATTCAGGTAAATGAAATAGGAACTGCTTAAAATATCACGACTTTTCACAATCAGGGTGCAAAAATATAGGTAGTAGATAAGTAAAATTTGTGGCGAGCAATCATTTCAATACGAAAACTGGCCAAATTCCATATAAATTGTAATTTGGAGGGGGTAGGGGGGGGGGGGAGAAGAGAAGAAGGGACTAACTAAAAGCAATAAATCTAAGTGGTTTAGGGAAAAGAAATGAGGATTAAAACAGGAATAGGAAAAGAAAGCTTGAAGATGTCAATTTGTGTTTCAGAAGCTTTTTCATGATAACAATTTATTTTATTTATTTTTTATCCTTAACAAATAATTTTCAAATCGTCTGGAGAGGATTTAAACAATTACGGTATTTGTTTTTAATGCTGGGGGAAAAGGAATATAATTGTTTTAAATATTAAATTTGTTTGATATATTCTAAGAAAAGGGACATCTTAGTTAATATATTCCAAAACTATGATAACATTTATTTAATATATTCTGATTTGATGAAAGAGAATAGATCCTGATCATCAATACAGAATATCTGCGCTAGATCGTTGAACTCGTATACCCGGGTGAGTAGGGAGTCCTTGAGCTGAAGACCAGGTAGAGACTGGAGTCCACACTCCTGGAGTACCAGTTCTACACCAATCTTAACAATTAGAATAAAAATAATAAATGAGTATTTTAGTACTACAAATAATAAACCTCTTCACTCATGAATCTATTTTTACACGATGTTTCGGATCTTCTCTAGGTTAATTTATTTAGCTTTAGCTTTAGCTGGCCAACCCATGGGTAGTGGGTACCCCAGGGACTATAATTATAAATCATAATACAAACCTGGGCTATTAACTATAATATGAAAAAGTAACAAGGACGGACGAGTTGCTATGTAATTTCTAATTATCTTCAAATTTAACCGTGGCAGTACCTTTTAGCTCTTTATTGGATTAACAAGAAAGATTAAGTAAGTTATTATCCTTTCTTGAAATAATATAAATTCTCAATTTTCTTTCTTTTCTCTGCTGCAAAAGCCGGAAGTAATTTAATAGAAAACAAAATGGTTTAAGGGTTAGACTGTCAATCGGAAGTAAATTAATAAGTAAATGGTCGCTTGAAATTACATCGAGATACCCTATACGTGTTCATCAGAATAATTAAATAAATTAGTTTTCTCCTCCGAAAGTAAAAAAAATTGAGGATGTTCTTTTTAAAAGGCATTGGAAGTAATTTTTCCAATATTTACGTCTTTTGCCTGCACCAGTGCACATTACCGACAACAAATTAGACCGAATATGTCTTTATTACTGTCAGAGCTCATGTTAATAGATAAATGATAACACTCTCATCAACTACATTATGTTTTTGTCTAGAAATATGTCTATATTACTGTTTGAGTTGATGTAAATATATAAATGATAACAATCTCATCCACTATAGTAGGGTTTTATCTAGAAATATTTCTATATTACTGTTTGAGTTGATGTAAATATATAAATGATAACAATCTCATCCACTATAGTAGGGTTTTATCTAGAAATATTTCTATATTACTGTTTGAGTTGATGTAAATATATAAATGATAAGACTCTCATCAACTATATTATGTTTTTATCTAGAAANTAGTAGGGTTGGATATTTGTAGTTGAGAGTAGTAGTAGTAGGGTTGGATATTTGTAGTTGAGAGTAGTAGTAGTAGGGTTGGATATTTGTAGTTGAGAGTAGTAGTAGTAGGGTTGGATATTTGTAGTTGAGAGCAGTAGAAGTAGGGTTGGGTATTTGTAGTTGAGAGAAGTAGTAGTAGGGTTGGGTATTTGTAGTTGAGAGTAGTAGTAGTAGGGTTGGGTATTTGTGGTTGAGAGCAACAGTAGTAGGGTTGGGTATTTGTAGTTGAGAGAAGTAGTAGTAGGGTTGGATACTTGTAGTTGAAGGTAGCAGTAGTAGTAGGGTTGGATACTTGTAGTTGAGAGTAGTAGTAGTAGAATTGGAAATTTGTAGTTAAAAGCAGTAGTAGTAGGGTTGGGTATTAGTAGTAGGGTTGGATATTTGTAGTTGAGAGTAGTAGTAGTAGGGTTGGGTATTTGTAGCTGAGAGCAGTAGTAGTAGGGTTGGGTATTTGTAGTTGAGAGCAGTAGTAGTAGGGTTGGATATTTGTAGTTGAGAGTAGTAGTAGTACGGTTGGGTATTTGTAGTTGAGAGTAGTAGTAGTAGGGTTGGATACTTGTAGTTGAGAGCAGTAGTAGTACGGTTGGGTATTTGTAGCTGAGAGCAGTAGTAGTAGGGTTGGATACTTGTAGTTGAGAGCAGTAGTAGTAGGGTTGGGTATTTGTAGTTGAGAGTAGTAGTAGTAGGGTTGGGTATTTGTAGTTGAGAGTAGTAGTAGTAGAATTGGATATTTGTAGTTGAGAGCAGTAGTAGTACGGTTGGGTATTAGTAGTAGGGTTGGGTTTTTTGTAGTAGAGAGCAGTAGTAAAAAGGTTGGATGTTTGTAGTTGAAGGCAGTCGTTGTAGGAATGGATATTTTTGTTTTTAGACTGTTAAATCTATTAAAAAATTACCTTAATTGATCCTCCTGGTTCCAATAAACCAAGGTTTGTATTGGTTACTCCGACCCAGGAGATCTTCTCAGAGTTCAGATCCAAGTTCTGTTCCAATTCCAGGGTTCGATCACAGTTGTTTGTTATCCTAAAATCAACCCAAAAATAATCTAAGCTCCAGGGTTTGATCACAGTTGTTAGTTATCCTAAAATCAAATCAATGATAATCTAAGCTCCAAGGTTCGATTACAGTTGTTTGATATCCTAAAATCAAATCAATGATAATATAAGCTCCAGGGTTCGATCACAGTTGTTTGATATCCTAAAATCAAATCAAGGATAATCTAAGCTCTAAAAATCAACTTTCTAAGTTATCTAAAATCAAGTCAATGTTAATCGAAGTTCTAAGAATCGAAAACATTTTTCAGTTATCCTTCAAAATGATAGTATTACGAAAGTTATCGACTAGCAATTATTTTAGTGGATTTTGGCATTAAAAAAGCCTTTCAACGACAAGCATTACTTAAGGGTCAAATTTGGTCGAAGAAACTAATAATACAAATTTGGCGAAGTTTTCTAGCACGTTGTTGTAAATAATTATATTTTCTGCACAGTTCTGGGAAATATATTTTGCAAAACTAAATCATTTTTATCTACTGATAAAAATACAGGGGAATTTTCTAAATAATTCCCAAAATTACTTTCAGTAAAACTTGGAAATAAATTTAAAAAATTGAATTGAAAAACCATTTATGTAAAACTTCTTTTTCTTTACGTACAGTGAGACGCACACAACTGTGGAACAAGAGAAGTCCTGATAATAAATAGTCCAATGAACAGGAAACGCAGCACTTTTGCAGTGTTTTAAAGCTACTAGTGAAACCATAACAACTTTAATTTAATTATATGATCTAATTTCGTCTTTCAAATCCGCAGTTCTATTGGTATCATTGTAGTAGAATATTTTAGGGGGGATGTGGGGAGTGTGTTGTCTAGATGTCAACTCCGATTTGTCTGAAAAATACATTATGAAAAAGTGCTGTAAATTCATCATTTCCAAGTCCAACAATTTTGATAAATTTATAGTCATGTCATTGTCAACAAGATAAAGCGACTGTAAATGCAACTGGCGTAAAAATCAAAAAAGCGCAAATTTTTCAAAGCTAGTAATCAAATATTAATACTTTCAGGATAGATCATTCAAACAGCCATAATAGCTTAAACTTTTGGCTATTTTGAAAAAGAAAATATGATTCAGCTATAACAGTGTAAATAAATAGTAAGGTATTTTTTTGACAATTTTGTTAATCTTAATAGAGCTGAAAACTTTAAAATGGAATATCCTTAATCCCGATCGCATGAACAATTACACATACGATGCTATATCGATTGGACTAATAACCGATTAAACTAAAGTCAGCTCTTCACAAACCGGCTTTTAGAGCATTTGAACAAATATAAATTTAATCATGTTTAAATGAACTTATTAAAAAACACATTTATAACATTTTTGAACTAAAGAAATTTTGAACTTATGTTCGTTCAATCGATCATTAGATCAATTGATATGACACCGTCAACACCAGAAATTCTCTGAAATTAAAAACCGGGTTTTCAAAAGGTAAAGAGCGTATTAAACATGACACGCTGGTTGGTTGAATTTTAAGCTTCTTTTTTCGATGTCGATTGCGTATTAACCTAATCTCGGGTTCAGTAAAACCAGCAGATCAAGCATTGATCTCGATATCCACTATTCTAAAGTTTTCAGCTCAGGAACCAGGATTCCTTTGTTTCTTGTTTTTCAAAATATTTCTTTTATTTTACCCAGGAGAGTAAAAGTTCTTCGCAGATGAAGTAGTTTCAATTTTATATCCCTCGGGATTAAAAAGTAGAGTACAAGAAGCAACGACTATCCTGTAATTGTAGAGGGGGGGGGAGGGCGGAAGACTTCCGTTTCCATTTCCATTAAAAAAATATCCAATATTCAAACATATTTACTCTCATTATTAAACATATAAAACAATTTATTTGTATATAAAGTGGTATATATAGTATACTTACATCAGCTCCCATGAATACATTTAATTTTGAATAATAAATCAAACTGGAGTGTAAACTGTCTTAAAAATAGTTCTACTCATTTTTCAGGAAAGCCCAATTAATGGATAATATTTCTTTATTGAAAAACTATTTAAAAAAAGGTAAACTATTTAAATTATTTCTAAATGAGAAATGGAGTCCTTTTTTTGGCAAAATTAATTGAATTTTTTTTTTAAAGCCGAAACTTGATTCACCGTTGAGAGATTAAAAGGTTTTAGGGTTAATCAACATTTGAGGTCTGATTATAAAGAGCAAAAAGAAATTTTTGACATATTTATGAATCAGGATCCAGGGGGCTGAATGTTACGAATAAATCTTAGACACCTTATTCCATAGACCAAGTTAACCCGTATAACACACTAAAAGAGAACCCATTAAAACAGAGATTCCACTTACCTTATCTGTATAGGAAGAGGTTGGTAAATGAGAGCTAAAGCTGGAGAATGAAGAACTGAAACCTTGAGATCTCCTGTATTCGGAGCTAATCTTTGGAGCTGCGAGGTCTGAAGTCTACCCTAAACATTTTAACATTCAATTAGTATGTATTGAGGAAAAAAGCCGACATAGCCTTTTATTAATCAATACATTTTTTTGGTTTGTATCCAGGGGGTTGATAGTTGTTTACCTGCCAGTATATTTAGCTGGACTAAGCGGGGAACTTAAGTAAGTAAGTAAGAGATTTATTAGAGTTAAATCAAGATCATAATACATATTATAATATGATTAACATTCTCATAAGAATATAATTGAAGATATCATGGGTTTTATCACAGATTAAGATAAGGTTATATCATAGGAAGTTTAATTTTCTCTGCATATAGGGAATAACAGATTTTCTGTATTTCTCTGTTCTAGCATAGTTGACAGTAAATAGTTCAACGTTCCGTAGCTGGTGGTTGTGCGTGACTGGTTCTGCCGGGAATGGGGCAGAATGCCTTTGAGATTTTAGACATTTTTTGGCAAAGGATAGACAAAGTTTCTCTCTCCTAATCCTTAAGGTTTCTAGTTCCAGAGCTGATAGAGCAGATTGACAATTAACATATACTGGGCCTAGAATAACTTTAAGGGACACCTTCTGAACCCTTTCTAGGGCCTCATTCTGTGCTATGGTTAAAGAGGAACTCCATACTACACAACAGTACTCAAGAATACTACATATATACGCAATGTAAACTCAAACCAGTAACTTGCGTGTAGGATAGTCATAATCCCGATCTCTTGACCTCGATATCCACTATGGGTACTTTTAAGCATCAATTAATCTCTTTACGATATACGACAAGATATTTGTGATCGTTTCTGAGATGATGATTTACATAGTACATTGATGTAAAATTCAGTGTTGATGATGATCCAACCCTCAGAGCAGAAAAGGCGTTAGTTCCATATTTTTTAAAAATATATTTCTGTCGGGGTTGACCCACTTCAGTTCTTGAGAATAGTACCTCGATTATGGTACTCATAAACGCAAAACAGATAAACAGTGTCAGAGAATTTACTATGTTCTCTTTGTGTATATTGTAAAACGAAAACAAACAAAAATTTCGCGCATAAAAAAAATATTCGCGGATTTTCTAAATTTTCAAAAATCAAATTTAGTTTGAAGCTTTTTGAAAATTCGATCATCTATAATCCTTACCTGGGGTCGAGCGAGGTCCCACAAAAAATTTGAGCCCGATCGGTTCAGCCGTTTTGACGTTTATTGGATACAAACGGACAGACAAACACCCAGGCAAGCAAAGAATATATATAGAAGCTCTTCGTTATAGCTTGTTTAAACGGCTGGACCAAACTGGCTGAAATTTTTGTATAGCTACCACTGGAGTGACAAAGGCTAATTAAATATCAACTAGTTGAAAATAAAAATGCATTTTTTAAGATCGAAATTTACCAAGTTAGGTGAAAATACTAAGTTTGTCGTCTTAATTCTAATAATCAGTATATAAAGTATAAGTTATAAAAGTTTGAAAACTCTTATCTCCTTATTGATGTTTACTAATGAACCTGTCGTGAAAGGATGAGATGGGTTTTTATCAATCTAAACAAATTACTTTCAACATAATTTCCAAAGAAACCAATTTGTCTGTTATTAGGAAAAATATCGCAATGTCATGATTTCCAGACAACATCTGCAATCTCCATCCAATATAAGAAAATGTTGTCAGGCTTCTGGAAATACTTTGATGCATTTACATATATTTATATACAGGAAACAAAAAAGTTTTTCCTTTTGATAAGGAAATATTCAAATACAAGGCTTTCAGAGCACTTCATCCCATCTTGCTATTTCAATTGAACATTTTCTCTTTGTAACCATGCTAAAACAAAAACGTAAAAAAGTTTGAGGATTAAAAAAAATTCGTGAAATTTAAAAATTTAATAAAAATCGGATTTTGCTGGAGGGAAATTTTTGTGAATTGGATCATTCATAAACAAAATTGGGGAAGATCGGTTCAGTCTTTTTGACGTGTATTAGATACAAACAAACAGACAAGAAATGTATATGTAGATTAAAATTGTGACTATTAGTAGGTTTACCAAATAATTTAAACGTAATTTTAGACCAATGAGTTTGAGTTATGAGGGATTGGACGGAATAACATAATTAACCTTTCATTCAAATTTCATATACGTCGAATTTGTCAAGATTTGATTTACCATTTTACATTCAAAAAGTGATAATTCATAACTAAACCTCAATAAAAAGAAGAATAGTGATATAAATCGACATACAACATGTAAAATCTGTGCTAAGATGACCCATAATGTAAGGGTTGGCTACTAGAGCGCGCCGGTCAGAATGCTCCAATATTCATTTTGACCTCAGAAAAGAATTCCTCGTGCCCCAATTACCGATAAATCGACAAAAAACATGTAAAAGATTATCCATAATGTAACTGCCGGCTACTAGCGCGCCGGTCAGAATGCTCCAATGTCTATTATGACCTCGGAAATGAAATCCTAGTCCCAATTTTGCTATAGTTTGATGTATCTCATGCTAGTTTTATTCTAACCTAGGCCAAACTTAGCATATAAGTATTAAAATATATTTTCTTTTATTATTGTGCGCGCGCGGACATTTCAGGCTTTGGAGTTGAATTTTTTGAGGGTATATTTGTTTCTTGAATGTCAGGATAAATGTTCAAGTGCAATTAATAAGGTTAAGATTGATTTACTGTAAAAAAGTAGCATTTTTTCACAAAAAGCGCGCGCGCACTTTTGCTCATAAGACAATGTCGCCCCGAACTAGATATTAGACAATTACTGAAACGACGGACTTAGTCAAACGTTTATACTTTTTACAAATATTTTTTTTCTTCATTATTTGTTATTTTGCTAATTTAAAATCATTCGATATATATTGATTGCATCGATGTTTCAAAATCCATCATTTATTGATTTTATCATTTTTAATATTGTGAAAAGTGACTTTTTCATGGATATACTCACTTTTATTATTGTAAATGGCACTTCAGGTTTTCCGCACACAGTTTATTTTGGTAAATTTTCTTGAAATCGTTTAACCCCCTTTTTAATATAAAAGAAATTTCCCAAGATGTGAGAATAAATTTATTTTTTAGTGAAATTGTTATTAAAGGGTAAACATTAAACAACAGAAGCCCTATGATGTCCAATTTTTGATATTTTCATTCACATCATCAAAATTCATTCATTCTTGAAAATACATAAACATTTAGATCCGCAGAGAGAAACTAAAATTTCCTCAATCCCTAAATTCAAACAAGATTCAATTAGTTCTTCAGTAATAAGAGAATACATTTTTCATATTGCAGTCTAACATTTGCAGTTAATATTGAATTTTAAACATCAAACAAAAAATGGAAAGTTGTCTGTCTTAATGTCAGTTTTTCTGAAAAATACCGCCCACTCGCTCTGCTCTTCCTTTGAAATCCAACTCATTATATTTAGATCAAATTTTCTTTCCGCTTCATCTTTAAGAAGGGGTTTGCAAAAAAATGTTCAAACATTTAGCTTCACTAGCACACACTGGAGCTAAAATATAAATTATATATTCCATTATAGGTGTAGAATCCATTTATTGAATTAGAGAGCTGTTATTTTTCTGTTTCATTCTCTCTGCAATTAAAAGAGAAAACTTACATAAGAAACCATTAGAAGCTATTTAAGTAATTTGATATTATCCTGGGGGGGGGGGGGATCGATATCCTATTATTTTCTTTGATAAAACGTTATCACCGAAACTGACTCCCAAGATCGTTCCTATGCTTTTATTAATCGTTTTCTGAAAATTCAGACGTCTGGGTTAGAAATAGATTTTTAAAATTTCAAGTTCTATCAAGATAAAGGGAGCTGGGTGAAGACAAGTGACAAGATTTAACTCTTATGCTCTTAAAGGATCAAACATTTAAGAGAAATGGTTTGAATATTCTGGTTCAGTAAGAAAACCAAATATAAACTTAGATTGAATATCTGCTATGGAAAGAATTTAAAAGTTAGAACAAATAAACGGGTTTTGAAAATGCAAAGTTTTATCATATTTTTAATAAAAAAGAGATTGGAATAATATAATAGAAAATAGAAACAATAACTTGGAGATTTGGAATCTTTTATAAAACTAATTTGCAACCTAAGACTTCTATATATAAATTTGACTTGTCTGTCTGTTTGTTGGTATTCAATAAACGTCAAAACGGCTGAACCGATCGGGCCCAAATTTTTTGTGGGTCATCACGTGACTACAGGGAAGGTTTATGAATGATAAAAATTTTAAAAAATGTGTTTTAAAGGTTTTAACTTTTGTAAAAAAATTTAAATTCTTAAATATCCGCGATTTTTTGAAAAAAATTCCGCAAAATTTTTGTCTTCTTTGTTTTAAAATGTAAACAAAAAGAACGTGTTCACAATTTAAATAGAAGATAAAAGCCTAGTCTATATATAAATTTGGCTTGTCTGTCTGTCGGTTTGTTTGTTTGTTTGTATCCAATAAACGTCAAAACGGCTGATCCGATCGGTGTTTGTATCCAATAAACGTCAAAACGGCTGAACCGATCAGGCCCAAATTTTGTGTGGGACATCCCGTGCCCACAGGGAATGTTTATGAATAATAAAAATTTAAAAAAGTGTTTTTAAGGTTTTTAATTTTGTAAAAAAAATTTAATTCTTGAAAAGAAAGGCGCGAAGCGCCTTGAATTTCTAGTTATTAAAATATGATAATTGGTCATGAATTGTTTGTGATTGTACACTTCTTAGGATAGCAATTTGATTTTTAAATAAGTTTAGCTTCAAAATAAAGATAATCGGTATGTTTCCTTATCTAAGTTTATCTATGCATCCAAATATCGCACACTTGATTTCAAAACACTTTTTTGGAATGAATACTATTGAATGGAAAAGGATATTTTTTAGATTTTTAAAACTTTTTTATATGAATATGTTTAAAACAGTTTTATCCAATTTGTGGGTATCTTAACCAACTTATATACTTAACTATAGTTGATAACTAGATTAAAGATTTTACCAATATATTTATTTTACCTCTGTAATTAGCAAGAATGTATAAAAACCAAGAAGTTATCCAATTTGTCTCTAATATCTCATATGAATCGTGAAAATCTTCTCTACGATAGAGGCCGTTTTAAAAGAATCTATTAGCGAACTATAAAGGCTGTTTTAGAAGATTTCTTAAAGATGAGACTACCCCTTAAAGTATCCGATAGGAGCTGTTTAAGAGGATTTCTTAAACAACTGACTAACCGTATAAAGGTTAGCTGCGGGTAACCTCTGTAAAACAAACAATATAAATTAAATGTATGACTAACCTTATCACAATATGCAGATCTCCAGACTATATCCAGCTTGCCGATGTTAGTTAGAGATTTGAGGGTTTTCTCTGTCACAAGATCAGGACGAGGACTCAAACAGAATAAAAACTGCCAGGAATCCTAAAGACAATTTTATAATGCAGTCAGTTGACTATCTTATTATTTTATTTTATTTATTATTGTTTTTAGCTTGATTTAAAAATTCTAAGTGGTAACCAGAAAACTGTGGAATACTTTTAGACTTCTTTATTTATTTTTATTTTGAAGTGTTGCATTTTGAAATATGTCCAGAGCTAGTAACTCTTGAATCGTGCGTATCGAGATCAAGCTTTATTCTCGACAATTCTTAATCTACAGATTAATTTAATCTTAATTCGATATCCCATGAAGAGTGTCGTCTGTTGAAAATGAACAGCTAATCAGAGTCCAGAGAGTTTTAGCCATTAACCAATACAATTTGAGAACATAGAAATTGCAGATATCAAAAATGAAGAAATCAAGCAGATTTTGCGTAAAATTCAAGAGTTCGGGATTAAAGGTTTCCACAACAAAAGTTCCCAGCTCAAGATTATTTTCTACAATAAGTAGCAAAAAATTCGTAAATAGTAGAAAAAAACTAAAACCATGATGTCATGATATTCATAAGGGTACATACATAATATATGACATTAATATACAGAAAACATTATATTCAATATTTATGAATATCTGTGCATGCATCAAGATTAAAAATAAAGGACATTTTTCTCTGCTTTTGGTAGAATTTTATTTCTTTATTTTTTTTTTGGTTTATTTAATTTTTATTTTTTTGCCTTTCTGTTTACTTTTTATGTGATCTTTTTTTGGCTCTTTTTCCCCAACAATCATAACTAAAACAGATTAGAATTTTTTACATAATTATCATATCTAGATTTAAAAGTGTTTAACGTTGGCGCAGTTTTTATATCACAGAAATACATTCCATGGAGAAAAAACTCTTTGGCAAATTTTTTTTTACCAACATCAGTTCTACAAAAATGGGCACGAAGTGAAAGAGGATTGTCTGAAATTCTTATCATTCCATTGGATGTATCTGCTAACATACATATACATACATACCACGTAAATACATGCATACATACATACATACATACACCCACCCATACATACATAATACATACATACACCTATACATACATACATATATTTATTAACATAATTAACATCATGAATAATTTTATGGGTTTCCATTAAATCATAGCGGGCTCTTTGACTTTCTAGGGATTTTAATAGTTTCTTTATCTCCCACACTCCAAGGACACCAAGCTGGGACGGAAAACTCTAGGTGTGGTCTCACAAAAAGTTTATGAAGATTGATAAATGTTACTTTGTCTCTATAGTGAAATTCTTTAGAAATGCTTTTTGAGCTGATTGGTTGCAATGCACTGAAGGTTTCAAGTTTACATGCATAGTAACACCAATATCCTTTTCCTCGTCAATCTGTGACAAGGTTTGATTGTTCATGGTGTATTTATAACCAGGATTTCTATTTCCAGTGTGTATAACTTTGCATTTATCAGCATTGAACATCATCCCATCACAAAGTGTATTATGACAGTTTTGTAATATATTTTTGTCACTTTTGTTTACCATTTTTTGATCAAATTTTGTATCATTAGCAAGTTTTTTTAACACAGAAATTTGCGCACAGAGAAAGTCAATTTCATTAATATAGATGAAAAAACTATAGTTGATGAAGGTTAAAAGGGTACCATTGTAAATCCTTGATGAAGGGTCATTTCTGACTAAATTGACAAATATTTAAATACTACCTGTGATTGTAGACAGGTTCCTGATGAGAAGACACCAGTATTATCGTTTGTACCAAGATGAATTGGTTTCACTATAAATATTATCATATAAATGTATATATTATGTATGTAACAAAAAGTCCGCAAAAAATTAAAAATCTGCAGTAAATGTTATTAATAATACATTAGAACTGTTATGACTTCAAATATCGTATTAATAGGTTTACATTTTAGTTATCTCATTCAATTTTTGATGAAATTTTGATGAAATTTTGGAAAACAAAAGAAAAAAATTCATTCATAAAAAAATAATTTTTTATCACATTTTATTTTCGTTTTGCCCAAAATCCGAAGCAAACAAAATTTTAGAAAATTTGGTCCAAAACATCGATAATCCTGGTTCTTTTGTATTCCCCAGAAGTTGGGTATGTTTGAGCGGTGCACAGCATTTTTTTTAGTGTTTTATTCGCATAATTAGAGGAAAAAACGGTTTGTAGGGGAAAATAGAAACATTTTTGGGAAAAGCTATAAAAAAATGTTGGAAAAAACTTGACTTAAATATCCAATTTTTCATTTCCCCCATGATCAGAGGGGTAACTCTAAAAAATGAACACCCTTTTAATCACATAATATGTTACAATTTTAAGTTTGGTCTGTTGTGCATATTTCATATCCATGTGATGAATCTAACCTGACCTGTAAATACTGAAGAAGGTTCAAGAACCACCCTGTCCAGGTTTATGTTCCCCAGAGTAATATTCTGAACCTGGGCCTCCAGGAACACCTCGTCAGACTCAGCGTTGTAGAACTTGGTCTTCACGTCCAGAGGTTTCATCACCTTAATTTAGAATAGGATAAATATTAGTTTCAGTGTTCCTAAGACCCGGATCCAAATCAAGTTGGTTCCTGAATCCGGATCCAAAACAAGTTGGCTCCTGAATCCGGATCCACAACAAGTTGGCTCCTGAATCTGGATTCACAACATGTTGAATCCTGAATCTGGATTCACAACATGTTGGCTCCTGAATCTGGATCCACAACATGTTGGATCCTGAATCTGGATCCACAACTTGTTGGATCCTGAATCTGGATCCACAACATGTTGGCTCCTGAATCTGGATCCACAACATGTTGGATCCTGAATCTGGATCCACATTATTCATAACCTATTTTTGTAGAATATTACTTTTTAATGACATACAGCACAGTTATCTGAGATCTTCCTTTAATGCCTAATTAAGACTGGGTATTGGAAAAGGATAATTACAACGAAATGACTTTTAGGAAACATATCTAACAACAGTATTTTTCTAGTTTTTTCCTAGAAGTATATCCGGAGTTTTGCAAAGGATATTTTTTACAAGAAGTGCATGTTCTTAAAGCAACAAACCCTCATTTTTTAAATGACATGTTAAGAAATTTAAAAATGTTAAACATTTGAGGATTTTTATCACTGCATTATGACTTTTGGGACAAAAAGTTGAGAACTTTTTGAGATTATTATTATTCATAAAGAACAACCCGGCCTTCAATGAAATAAGTGCGGGGAAGGGGGTAGTATTATTCTACCCTCCTGCTAGAAAAAAGCGATGTTATTGGGAAAACAACAAAAAGATATTTGTCAAAAGCTCTTCGTTCACTTCATGACATATTATGGACGATGTTTTCTCACCACCGGGAAACAAGGAGTTCATAAAGAAGGGGTTTTAGAAAGATAGGGTTGTCTCCTAGTTAGCTTACTTTCTTTAGAAATATATACTACACGCTTGGAAACCCAGCTTTGCCTGTAATTTATTTTTGATGCAGATCCTGGGTGGATCCGGGCTAAAAATCTGAATCCGGTTATTCTGAAAGATTTACGGTTCATTCTAACAATTTTTTATACTAAATCTAGATGAACCAATCAATGATTAGGATGTTTATGAAAATCTCTAAGTAGGTTAGAATGTTTTTTTACTTTATAGCCGCTTTAGGTTAATATTTTGCCCTTTGGATCTGGGGATCAGGATTNATTTTGAGGCTAATCGGTCAAGGGGTTAATGGGTTTTGATCTGACATGAAAACAAACAAACAGTGATGGATATAGTTGGTTTCCAGACAAAATCAGTTCAATGTTCTGTGTTATGAGGTTTTCAATCCAATAAAATATGAAAACCAGAGATATCGAGGAAAGGATGCTCAGAAAACTTGCCAAACTAAATGTATTCATTATTCTTGACTTGACTGGAATAATTAAAACTGTAAAAGTCTGAAAATTTTTATCAAACCTGAAAAGGGCATTCCGTAAGTTGAAATAATTTTTTTTTTGATATTGTTAATAGTTCTAAGGTATTCCGTCTCAGCCCCCGCTTGGAACTTAGAACCCTCCCCCCTCGTCTGTTTCTAAGAAATGTTGGGCATTCGTGAGATTTTTTTCTGTAAAATTTAATTATCTTACTATTAAGTTTTTTTAATAAGATAAAGCAAAATGTTGAACAAAGCTTAACAATTAGGGCCTAAAATATGATCGAATCGGATGTCCGGCAATATTTCAGGTTTAGAGTATTATTTAAGGCTTCAGCTTTTGTTACTTTTTTTTGGGACAACCTGCCGCATAGTTATGTCGTTGCCATATAATTCTATGTGAACAATTTATTAGAACTGATTAGCAGGGATGCAAATTAAGGTTTAGTTCTGATCAGTGATCATCTTCTCAAACTTAATTTGACTCAATCAACAGAATATGGAAGAGGACGGGAAGGCCAACCACAATAATATCTCCTCAGTTTATCGTCCGAGCCACCTCAAAATGTCTAACTCTTGCAGATAAAATTATTGTTGAAATCTGGCCCCGTTCAGGCAAAAATAAAGTATTATATTTTCCCAGACAAATTTTAAAATTGTAAAAAAAATAACCGATGTTCTACAAATAAGCATCAGTGGGAAGGATGAAAATTTCAAGGTGGCTCGGACGAGAAAATGAGGTGAATGTGGCTCGGACGAGATATTGTGGTTGGCCTTCCCTACCCTCTATGGAAGAATATAAACATAAAAGAAACCTAGAACAATTCCCTCCTCTACTATTTCTAAAGTTCTGATATAAATCCTGCAATATCCATTCTACCCTTTATGTTGAAAATAAAAAGTTTGAAAACTGTATCAGCTAATATAGAACTTTTTAATATTTCCCTTTCTTTTAACATTTCATCACTAAAATGATAAAAATAATGATAACAGATTTTACATACCCAATAAATCTAGTGACACTATATATATATATATATATTGTTAAAACTATGGTGTTGGGACATGTCATAGAAAGACATTTCATAGATTACAAAATCATAGGTAGGACATATTAATGACAAGTCATATCACAGATTTCAGACATTTCAGGAAAAAGAGATTCTTAGACAGGATATTTTATAGGTTTTGGGTTAATTCAAATGAGTCACAATTTTAGAAAATGTTATCAGATTATTTTAGATTAAAATTTTATAAAGAAATTTAAAAAGAGCAGTTATTTTTTCTCCGACCGTGTATCTTTTTTTATCTGATCATACATCTGTTTTCTGTTCTACTCTTTTAGATCTACGCATTCTAGTCTCTTGTAGACAAGGGAAAAGTGCATTTTGACACATATTTCTGATTCATACTGTTCTTTAATTTGATATCTTGGCGCCAGATTGTTTGAGATACATATAAATCAGAGAGCTCATAAGAAGAAAAGGGTAAAATTTATTAAATAAGATTACTAAATCTATTTACCTTATCTATGAAATGTCCAGACTATGAAATGGCTTAACTATAAAATGTCCTATTTATTAAATGTCTTCTATGAAATGTCTCAACACCAAAACTGTTAGGCACCTTTTTTGGTAAAAATACAATAATTCTTCTTGCACCAGCTAAAAAAATTCTAATATTTTTTCTTTTTAATTTTAAGGTCATTCGAACATTTTCGTTTTTGTTTAGATTAATTCACTGTGCAAGAAAACCTTTTTTCTCCCAAAATCTTCGTCTAGAAATACTTAATTCAGACACGCTAAAATCGTAAAATTAGTTTATGTTGAGTCTCAAAAAATCGTTTTCGGCCTTGAATCAGTCATGTCTAAAATATCAAACAACAAACAGCTGGACGACCTTAAGTGGCTCAATACCCATATCAACATGTTATGAAATTTAAAATTAATTTATTACAGAATAAGTTGAGTTTTTTTTAATTTGTTATTTTTTAATGTTCCACATTTTTTTTTTGGCGGTCCAAAAATAATTATCCCTTTTTGTAAATCCTTTCCAAAAATATTTCCTCTAATAATAAATGAATGAAATTGATGATATTGAAAACCAGATAACATATCGGACCGTCTGGATTCGTGTAACACGATATTTCAAGCATTAGGGTTCAATTTTCACAATCTAGATTAACTCTTGAGGTTCTAATATATTTGTAGGGGTTCAAGATCTTTAAAAGAGGGTTTAGAACATAACACTATCAGATAAAAAATTCCTTCCTTATAATCATCATCTAAATACGAAGGATTAAAAAGGATCTTCTATAAATAATCTGTACAGCAGTTTCCTGGAAGAATGTAAACAAAGCAGGCATTGCGGTATTTACATTTCTCCCAGAAACCGCAGTACACTTTTAGGGAGTTTCCTTGAGAAAACTATACTCAGAAAGTTTTGAACTCGAATTTTTACTTGCAAAACNCAGTTATCGCCTTTGAGCATCCAGATTGGATAACAGAAATAAAATATTTTTGGGGGAAATATAGATTATTTTTTTGTATGTCTCGTCAATAATATGCTGGCAGCTAGATTTAATCCTATTAGCCCAGACCATGTGGTCCAATTCTTTATATTGAGTAGAATAATCGTTTCAGGGGATAAGGTTCAGGGGGGGAGGTTTACATGATTTCTTTCGTCTTTCAATGTGGAGGGGGGCAGACAATTTTAGGTAAATCATCGGTTTTTAATTGTAAAAAAATTTATAATTACTTATTATAGTCTGGGCATTTTATAAAGCCAGGTATATTGTGCAACATTGAAAAAAAAATTACAAAGGAATCGAGTCTTTGCCACAAATCTGATTTTCTAATCCCTTTATCTTTACAACCTGGAGGTTTAGACCTCAGATATTTCAAACTATGATTTTTGTTAAATTAAATAATCTAAGTTTGAAATATCAAAACATCAGGTTGCTCAGTTATAGGTATAAGAAAATTTGAGTTCGGAGCAAAAACTCAATTCCTTTCACAGATTTATGTTTTATTGGTAACTTTTAAAAATTACGAGAAAGTTGTTTTGAGACATTTTTGAACCATAATCAGGAAGATACCGAAAATACCGATTGTAGAAGGAAAAAAGTAAAAAATTTTAATATCTGTAAAAAACAGTTAAGGAAATGTTCATAACCTGGATCCAGATCCGGATAACAGGGCGGGCGGATCCAGGATCCGGATTACAGGGGGGGTGGATCCAGGATCCAGATCTTGATTCGCATCAAAATGAAATATTTTTCATTCAATTTAGAATCTATCTTTGAAAGTATCAAGTTGATACCTAAAACTTATAGGTATACCTTGACTGAACTTTTAAAGGATCCACGTAAATTAGTTTTTAAATTAAAATTCAGCTTTTAATAGAAGTTCTATTCGAACTTTTTTTCATTAATCATTTTCTTAATACTAAATACGAGATTTAAATATTCTCTTCACAAGAATATTGAAGAATATTGAAAACATACAACTTTTCGAGTTTTTATACGTTTCACTTTCCTGAGAAAAACAGAAAGTTAAAAACAAATTAATTTAAGCTATAAAGAAAATGTTTCAGTAAATTTGACCATGATGTAACCTTACTTGCATATCAATCAATTTTTGGAACTTTGATCTCCTCTCCAACCCATTCCTCCCATAACCCCAGGGCCCAGGGGGAGTTTATGTTGCGTAGAAATTTTAAATGTGTTGGAAAAAAGTCTCTAACCTTTTTTTTACAATAATTAAAAAATGGTGGCAATTAAATTAACAATTGAAAACTAGAATTACGAGTCTAGATCCTTCAAATATAATCCATTTACTCGACAAATTTCTAAAAATTACCTGAAATTTAAAAAATTTTCTAAAATTTAATTTGTCTGATGTTGGACTTGCGTAGGTAACATCGCAGACTAGAATATGGGTTCCCAGCTCCTTCACTTCATGATGGATCACGTGATCTATAGTTTCTCCAGGTGCAAGGGTTAATCTCTCCTAGAATAAAGGGAATCTTATAAAGCAGCGGGTTGAGAATTTTATTCCAGATTTTCCACTCGATTTAACCTTGCGGGTTAAAATCTACGCATTTCCTTTTCCCCAAAGAAATCAAATTTTCGAATACTTTTTTTTGAAAATTTATTAATCATATGGTCAGGGAGGAGTATATTTTCTTATCTCCTCCCTCCCCCCCCCCTTCCCCCTTTTTGCGTCCTTTATCATATTGGATTTTCAAGCTCCTACGNCCTCCCCCCCCTTTTTGCGTCCTTTATCATATTGGATTTTCAAGCTCCTACGAAAAAAATACATACAAAATGCAAATTTAAAAATTCTCTTTGTTTATTTTTCAAAAATTATTTGATCTTTTAAAATGTTCTGTTATGTTCAAAAAAGAGATATTGGAAACTTTCTTTTTCAATTTCTTTTCCCTTTCCATCGGATTTTTTATTGATATTACAAACCCTACCATTATAAAGAACCCACCAACCGGAAAGCAAGCCACCTCGAAATCTTCGTAAAATCAAAGAAGATAAAACTATTTTTAAAGTTCTATGTTCTTCAAAATTGGTTATTTTTATATCGTGTAGAGATTCACCTTGGGAAAGTTTGACATCATTCTCCTGGATTTGATGATTCCAATATGATGTAATCATTGCAATACTTAAGTTTAACTATATTTTATGCTCTGACGTGACCAGATTAAAAAAGTATTTAAAACGAGGATTTCGAGGTAGAGAAAATGAGGAGAATGTGGCTCGGACGAGAAATTGTTACGGTTGGCCTTTCTTCTCTAACCACCCACCTGTCCGGTAACTAAACCTATTCTCTGAGTACCGGTCTGTAGATCTGCTTTTACGCTCACATTCCTACAATATTCTTATCTTTAGCTTCTTAGTAATAAATCTTATGATCTCTCAATTGATCTTCCAAGGTTGAGATAAATTAATTCTATAAAAACAATGAATTCGAGATTAGTAACATACAATTCAAGGTTTAGATCAGAGAAAATTCTTCCTCCCGATGTGAGATACGGTTGGTGTTAGTAAAAATGTTCCAATTGCACTTTTGGCATCAATTTGAAATAATTCAGAAAGTGAAAAAAGAAAAAGAAGAAAAGAAAACCTATAGGGCAAGTTTTCAAACAACTATGTTTTCTAATTTTCTTTATTAACTAGCGTGGGAACCCAGCTTTGCCTTTTCCTTTATATGAGTCAACCTATTTAACTCATAACGTTTAACTCAAGCCAAGAACATTCCCTTGGTTCTTGCGAGTTCCTCAGTCAAAATTTGAGGCAAATCGGTCAAGGGGTTCTTGAGTAGTGTTCGGACATACAAACTAACAAACAGAGATTACTACTTTATATTTAGATTTACAAAATATAAAAAAAACTAATCCTGTAGCGTATTTAGGTCTCACTTTAACTTAGTCTTAAAAACCCCGTGAGTCCTATAAAAGTCTGTATCTGCTCAAGAAGTTAGATTTAATACTATTATAATGTTAAGTCACAAAAAGCTAAATCCATCAAGATTAAGTTACCTTCTCCTGCAGGATACACATCACACAACCTTTACTAAATATTTATATCTAAAGAGGTTGTTTACCCGAATCAACATACACAAAATATCTTAATTCATTTAAGATTAATTTTTATAAGTACTTGCCCCTTAACAGGCTGGAGAGTGTGTGTGGGGGGGGGGCTAAAAATAATTTTTTGTGTGTGGAATGCATAGGTGCAAGATGGTCGGACCGTAAGTGGTAAATCAAAATATGAAAAAATACTTTTTTATAATACATCCTACAGACACGTACCTAAAATTCACACGATTTAAAAGACCCTGAAAGAGGTAAAACTTATCGTTAATATTTGTCAAAAATGAAAAAACGTTTTTAGATTTTTTGCGACGTACAATTTATAAAACCTCCTCAGCCATTAAACAAAAATTTGTAAAAATGTGCAATGAACCTGGATACTAAGACTCTTTTTAATGTATTCAGTAAGCATTTAAGCATTTAAGAGATGCAATAACTTTACGGTGATTTTTTATATAAAGTAGTAATCTTTTTTTTTTGTTTTTTTTCTAAAGTAGTAATCTTTTTTTTGTTTTTGTTTTTCTATGTCCTATCATAACTCATGAACTCCGGAGATTGGAGAACCAAAATAATGTTCTAAGCTTGGTTTTGAAATTATAAGTTGAGTCTGTCGACTTGTATTTCCAAAAATAGCTAAAATCGTAATTTGAGTCCAAGTGCGGGAAAACGGCTGGAGAGCAATAAGTATCCTGGGGAACACTGGGTTCTCAACCTAGTATCTAAAGTATAGTACCTACATGTCTCTGTACTGTCGTTATGTACACAAACATAACTGCTGAAGGTTTCACCGAGATAAATATTTCTAAACAAAATATCCAGATAATTTAGTTTGTCTATTGGTCTCCAATAAATGTCAAATCGGGAGAACGGGCCAAAATTTGTTTGTGGGACGTTTCATGGCCCCAAGGAGGGTTAAAGGCCGATCTGGTTTAAAATTAATATTATTAATAACATGGGGGTGTATATCTTTGAGAATTAAAATTGGATATCAAAAGGCTATTTTTTTTTCATCTTTTTAGGTACTTATTTATTTTCCCCATAAAACCATTAATTTTCCAAAATTCAGCGAAAAAAAACCCTTAAAATTTGTTTAACGCTCTTCGCAAACATACCAAACGGATAAATTATAAACCATTATTATTTTATAATAGGAAAACTTGCCAGGATGTTAGTTGAGCAATATATATTTTTGACAAGTAATTAATATCAGAATTAATTCTGTTGTCTATTTTCATGTTAACTAATTAACTAGATATGGGTTCTTCAAAAATATTCAGAATAAATTTTTAAAAACTTTTCAAATTGAATCAAAATAATTATATTTTCACCCGAAAGATTGAGGTAGAATTAAAAGTTTGCCGAGGTTTAGTCCCTCCAGGGTGTCCAGGCTGTTGACATCGGTCTTCAAGTTTTCAATCAATAAATCCCTAAAATATATATTCCATTTATTTAAGTCAAAACAAAGTGGTAAAATGAGGGAGTCTTAGCAAGGAACTCTGATTTTATAATCAACATTTCTCTGAACCTCAGATATTTCAAACTATAATTTCTGTTAGATTAAGAATATAATTTTGAAATATCAATGCTGTACATCAGGTTACCAAGATTTAGGGCATAGCAAATCTGAGTTTGTGGTAAAGATTCAATTCCGTTGTAACAAAAATACACCCCAACGAATATTTCTTGTATAACCTTGATGAAAATTAGAAGATTAAAAAAATTTAAGAATTTTTTTAAACATATAGTATTTGCTACTAATATAGTTTTTATTAGGAAAAAAAAGACTGAAAGAATGAGAGATCCGAACTCTCATTAAAAACGAATAGAAATTAATGATTATAATTATCAAGTAGGAATTATTGTTAGCTTAATTAATGTTTTGAAATAAGAACAATTTAACTAGATATATAATAATATTCAACTATCAAATTTGGACTCAATAGTTGGTTGCTAAAATCAGAGACAGAAATTATTGAAAATAAAATTTAAAATAGATGTTGTTTAAAATTTAAATAGATTCCTTTTACAGGAATTGAGATTTAGCCTATCCCTATTTCTTTGCAATCCGATGTTGTAGACCTAAGATTTGTCAAACTATGGTTTCTGTTAAAGTAAATAATCTTAGTTTCAAATATCCATGGTTTACACCATAAAGGTCGCAAAGATATAGGGATTAGGCCATTTGACAAAGACTCAATTACTTCACAAAAAATGGTTGCAATTGAGAATAATTATGATGTATACAACAAAAACATGACTGGTAAATCCTACTCTTCTTCTTCTTGACGAAAAAAATAAATTATAAAATTATTCTTTAAAAAAAAGCAGTAAACTTTTAAACTCAAGGCAATGCATTACTTTATTTATACTGCCTGCAAATAAAACTTAGGTCATAACAATTTTTGTTGGAAAAAACAGAACTTATAAATTTTCTATATAATTCCACATTATTGACAAGATAACAGATTAAAGGTTCTCAAGGAATTATTTCTAACCAACATTCAGAGATTAACTTTGGTTAGAAACAGCTAAAGGAGAAAATATAATAAGATTCATGAAAATAAACCAAAAAAATGGATTTTGGATACATTCTTTAAAAATGGATTTAATTGAAAAGCTTTGTTACAAAATTAAGTCTAGTATAACAAAAACTGTCACCAAAACATTTATGTACATTTTAAAGAGACTGTTGGCGAAATTTCAAGTAACCCTCCGTTTTCAGAATAGAGTGTTCGATTCACAACAGTACATTATAAAGCTTTATCTAACCAACAATGTCATACTTATCCTTATCAATCTACATAAACGCTTGTATTGAACAATTAATTTGCAACCTGTCCTATATTTAAGAAAAAATAACTTTTACAATGTAGAAAATAAATATTTACAATCGACATTAAAAAAAAAACGTTTTGAACAGCCGTGTTGAGTCCACACTCCACTTTCTCCGGCAATTCGAACACAATTTATTTGAGAGATTAACACTGGGCTTGATGATCAGTCAAATATTTTAATAATACGGTTGTAATTTGCAGGGCAGTGCTTTCTTTGCAAAGAGGTCACTTGAAATTCCGCATTCAGTCCCTTCAAAAGCGTTTGAAATGATATTATTCAAAATAACTGAGTTAGATTTTTGTTACCCAGTGGAAAGGGGTGAATATTTTCCAGATTTTTTTGTGATTTTAGAGGATAAAAATAAAAAGTTTGACATCAAAAATAAACTTTTTTCATTCGTTTAATTTGATTCTTTTAACCCTTAAAATAATTTATTTTAAGACCATCAGTGATTTACAAAAGGGGGGGGGAATATACGCCCCCAATAGTGACAATGACGAATATCAAGGGGGGGGATACTTTGCTATACAGTAGTCTAATATTTAAAATCTTGTGACTGGAAGCATTTTTATAATCACAAGATAATTAATGTCGGAACTACCAAGTTTATGGAGAAGATTCTTGGAAGGATTTGCAGGAATTTTCTTATCATAAAATTCTCTCCGTTGCGTTAGTCATAAATTTTCTCCAGGCACCCCCTCCCAACCAGGAAAAGAATTTTAGCAAACTTCGTTTTACAGTGTTTGTGGGGGAAAGGAGGGGGTGGGTGACAGTTTCCGTTTTGAATACAAATTCATACATTTTATGCAAATGGGAAATAAATATTTTTAGAACTGTTATAACTATCACATTTTCTAGAGTTAGCACGTTGTAAACATAATTTCTATTCAAGGCATTTCTAAAATGTTTTGTCATTAAATATCAGCATTTTTTTGACAAATCTTTCTGTTCAGTTGGTTATAGATGAATATTGAACCATTAACAAACATCGACTTTTAATCTTTTTTTAAAATGTAACATAAAACCACCAACAGATATTTACGGTCAAATATATTTTTAAAATTTATTTCAGGAAATAACAAATCAGTTCCATTTGTAAGTAAAACCATGGTATCAAGAGAATAAATGATTGTTACATTTATGGTCCCCCCTCTCTCGCACAAAAGAAGTATAAAAAGTGATAAGAAACCCGTTTTGTTCCAACTTAAGCTTTTCTCTTTTAAAAACCCCGAAGAAAGGAAATCTTGAATGTGATATCTCCATGAAGAGATTGAAGGAACTTACTGAGTAAGATCTGATCTATCCGAGTGTAACTGAGAGGGCAGACCTAGAGTAGGTTTAGTTAGTCGCATCACCTTGAGAGCTAAACAGTGTTCTACCCTCGTGTCTCCCATTCTGTCTGAAACCAGAATATTCTACTTTAAACTAAACTCGGGAGATATATTTAATTTGTTTATTTCAAGAAAGGGTCTAAAACAGTTTAACAAGATAGTTTAAGCTGCAGACAAGGATTTAAGGTCTGCAATACATTTCTTGAGAGCTGCGTCCTCCTGGGCCGGGGTGATGGATTTCCTAAACAAAATGTTTCAGATACAAAATCTCAAAACGGCTGAACCAAACAGACCAGTTATTGAGAGACAGCCGACATGGTTCATGGAAATATTATTTTGTAGAATTAATGAGTGAGCTGAAATTTAGGAATGACTCGTCCAGGACTAAAAGAAAATATCTAATAAATAATTCAACCATAGAATGAAATAGCCCAACCGGAGTCAACTCAGTATCTTATTTTCTGTGAGACGGAGAATGAATTCGTATATCCAGGGACAAGAAATATAATGTTACTTCTTTCCAAGATGAGAAAAGAAATAGATGTATGGAAAGTTAGAGGAGAAAAGAATTAGAAGGAGAAAAAGACAGATATGGAAAAAAGATAAAGAGATTGAAGATATGGATTGAAAAAATGTGATAATAAAAGACGTTAAAAAAGGGAGAGGAATAAAAGCGAGTCTTGAAAAAGTGTTTAAAAATAAATCAAATACACAACTTTCTGAAATGTTAATTCCGATTATTTCGAATTTAAAGAAGTGAGGTTGAAGGAAAATATTTACCTGACGTTGGTGATAATCCAGTCAACCATGTGCTTCTGCTCCATCCGTCTCATAACATTAGCAACCTCCAGCTGATAATCTAATCTCTTCTTTACCTAAACATTATCAGTTATATTAGAACCTTCTTTAACTAAACATTATCAGTTATATTAGAACCTTCTTTAACTAAACATTATCAGTTATATTGGAATCTTCTTAACATAAATATTATCAGTTATATTGGAATCTTCTTTACCTAAACATTATCAGTTATATTAGAATCTTCTTTAACTAAACATTATTAGTTATATTGAAACCTTCTTAACATAAACATTATCATTTATATTGGAATCATCTTAACATAAACATAATCAGTTCTATTAGAACGTCTTAACCAATCCATAATCAATTATAATAAAACCTTCTTAAATTAAACATAATCAGTTTTACGAACCTTCATGACTTAAACATAATCAGTTATATGAACCTTCATTCAGTTTTATGAACCTTCATGACTTGAACATTAACGACTTAAACATAATCAGTTAAATGAACCTTTATGACTTAAACCATCAGTTATATGAACCTTCTTGACTTAAACATTATCAGTTACATGAACCTTCATGACTTAAACATTATCAGTTACATGAACCTTCTTGATTTAAAAATAATCAGTTATATGAACCTTCTTGACTTAAAACGATCAGTTATATGATGAATTTTCTTTACAACATTTTTCTAAAATTTACACATTTGTTTACATAAAAAAAATTTAAATAGTTTTCTTCGTTTTTTTTTCGCTTATTTTATGCTAAAACTCGATTAACCATTTAGAGAGTAAGAAAATTTTGAATATCTCTCTTGGTTGGGTTTTCAGAGCAAAAAGTTTTTTCTTAAAGTTTTCGGTTGTTATTTTGCCCTTAGGATCCGGATCCATGAAGTCAAAATGTTGCGGATCAAACGGATCCGGATCCTATAATCTTATATTCCGATCCCAACCTAACCCTTGCAAAAATCGGACATCTGAATTCAATGATGAGTTATGAATGGGAATAGAATCAATATTGAAGGTAAATGAGGATTGCATTTTGCCAACTGTAGAGATGAATGAAGGAAAAAACAATAAAAGATGAATTGATGAAGCAGTGCCAGTAGAATATTGGAAGAGTTTGATAGAAGAGCAATAAAATAGTTTAAAACAACCTTGTAATACAAGGTACTTTCAAGACATTGTAATACAAGACTCTTTCAAGACCTTGTAATTCAAGGTTCTTTCAAGACATTGTAATACAAGGTACTTTCAAGACCTTGTAATAAAAGGTACTTTCAAGACATTGTAATACAAGACTCTTTCAAGGCCTTGTCCTTCAAGATTCTTTCAAGACCATGCAATTCAAGATTCTTTTAACTTTAAAGTCATTGTAATTCAAGACTCTCTGAAAACCTTGTACTTCAAGGTTTTTCAAGACGTTGTAATTCAAGGTTCTTTCAAGACCTTGTAATTTAAGGTTCTTTCAAGACCCTGTAATTCATAGTTAGCTCAATACCTTGTAATTCAAGACTCTTTTAATGTGAAATTATGGAAATGAAATATGTAGAAATGATGTATCTATTGAAAGCACGAACCTGAGTGTAAGCATCACTGAGTCTCTCCCTGTAAACGGACTCCAGCTGTAGACCAACAGCCTCTTTCTTAGCAGCAATAATATCCTCCCAGGCGGTAGCATTCACCTTAATAGAGATTACATTTATTTACGATAGGATTGTATAGATATGGTTTAAGTTGCAGACTGAAAAAGTTTTTATCAGTAGGCCCTATATCTTTACATCTGCTGCTTCAGAGTAATTTTTCTTATCAAAAATTAACATATCCCGTGCAAGTTTTAAAACCAATATTCATTGAAGCCTGCATTAAGAGGGAGGGGACCTTGGGCCGCCATGAACCTCCCAGATTTGCTACATAGTGCAGAGCCTCCGCACTATAAATCATGTAAAAAGTTATCGCTTAGATCTAAGTTTATAACAAATGAAATTATTTATATAGCTTTCCAGTTAATGATATATTCTGAATTGATAAATTGAAGTTTGTACGATTACGTATTATTGGAGTCCAGTTTCTGAGTTTTTTGTCCTGATTAATTATATTTACAACTCATAGTTAAGGCTAAGAGATCCCTTTTCTCCTCTATCAAATCCACCTCCTCAAGCAAAACCATTCACCACGACACCGTCAATACCGTGTCTATGTTTTTTCTTATCTTTTTTTTTCTCGAGCAACTGGGGAGCTGTACCAAAAGAGCTACAGTTAAAGCAGTTCTTCAGACATAGAACATTAATCAATTAATCTACCCTTTGTAATAATGATTTATCTTATTTAATGATAAGTTTCTGCGTAAATAAATAATATTTGATCTGAAATCAAATTCACTTCAGAATTTGTTCTCTTAATACCTTCATTTTCACGTAAAATAACTTTTAAAATGTTAGTGTAAAATTCCTACTGTATAGCATATCAGGAAGGCACGTGGCAGCCGGAGGGTCCTGCCCTCAAATTAAATAAATATTTTTTTTCGAGATTTAGATTGTTAGTGTTTTAAAATAAAAAGTTGTTCCTGGCCCCTTGTACCTGAGCGGCCTTCTCTGCTTCGATGGTCCTCTTGAGATGATCGATCTCGGACTGTCTGACGTTCTTGTACAAAGCCTCCTGCTCATCCAGCTCCTTGTTCAGGGTCTCGGCCATACCAGGTCCAACACTCTTTACAATACCTTGAAAACTTAACAGTAAGACTCTAAACGGGGGGCTTCAATCATAACATGGGGATAGGTTGACTTTTGAACCAGGGCCGGGGTTTATAATTTAAAAAAATTAAAATGCAATCTTCTTTTTAGTACTTTTTACCAGAAAAGTCATTTATTTTCCCCATTTCAGCAAAATAATAAAAAATTTGCAAGCATATTTCAAAAAGGGGGGGGGGATTATTAACACCCCCGTCTTGAACTTACAACTTACTCCCAAATTGCATATTGATTATTCAAGAAAATGTGGCACCTCTGAATCCAGATTATAGAAAACAAAGGGAAGTAAGTTTTGCTATGGTGTAAGATTGATTAACTGAAGCTTGTAATGCTGGGTTTCTATATTTCTTCTGGAACACACGGAAATCATTATAATATTGTAAAATAGAAACCTTATTTCGAAACAAAAAAGTAATCTTAAAATGTTCATATAAACAAAAAAATATAGTGGAATGAAAAACGTGTGGAAAACTGTAATTTAAAAAGTACATCGTTATGAATGCTGTCAAAAATGTTATAAAAAATAAATTGGTTTGAGTTTGACCAAGAAAATTATTCATTCTACCCAGAAGAGCGTTCACCCCGACTCTACTTAAACAATATTTTCCAGCATTTTTTTCAAAACCTTCATCCTTACGTATCATTTAAATTCATCAGCTACTCTTTAAACAAATAAATTGGCGAATGTATTGACATGAAAGAACAATATTTTACGAGGTGAACGAATCTAGAACACCAGAAGTATGTATATATTTTCTAGAAAACCTCCCCCTCCTCCGAGAATAAAAATATATTTGAAGATTAGGGGGGGGGGGAGGAGAAATTGCAATTCAAACTGGTAAGTATTGTTTATTGTTTTAACCTTAATTTCTTTCGCTTTTTAGAGGGAGTGGCCGGCAATGTATGGTAGGTTAACTGAGATTGCAGTATTGTAGAAAAAAATTTCAGGATTCATTTGAGACATTGTAAACGTTTTTAAGATCTATAATTACTTAGTTTGAGCGAAAAGTCGACGTTTAAAAACGTCAACTTAGGTGGGTACGTTTTGAGAATCGGTTTTTTAAATTATTAAATAACGACGACAAAAAATAGTAATAAAAAATCTATAGTAAACTAATTAGATGTTTAGGAACATATTTCTCAAAAGATATTTGTCAATATATCAATGTTAAAATCAATTATTTCGTTTTTATCATTAAATTGAATTTCTTATTTTCTATGAATTTGTTCGCAGATTTCCACAAATTCTTCAAATGTCCTCTTTTCATTAAAATTCCAAAAAAACCTTCAAATATTTGTGAATAATGAGAGATTATAGTAGAAACTAATAATTAAATAAAATTACTTATTTTTGATAAGAGTTAATTTTTATTTTCTCAACCTGTTCCTAAAGGACTTATTAGTTTACTGTAGAATTTTTGTTACATTTTTTGTCGTCGTTATTTAATAATCTAAAAAAAATCTCAAAACGTACCCACCCAAATTGATGATTTTGACCGTCGACTTTGCGCTCAAACACAGTAATTATAGATCTTTAAAACGTTTTATATGTCTCAAATGAATCCTAATTTTTTTTAACAGTACTGCTATCCCAGTTCAACTACCATACATTGCCGGTCACTCCCTTTAGTAATTAATTTCCCCCCGACCCAGCGATAAAAACGACATTAAGAAGTATTTGTCTACCGGGGAAAAATAATTTTTAAAGGGGGGAGGGATATTTAAAGGGGGGGGGAATGCATATTTAAAGAAGTGTTTTCTCCTGTTTTACTGTCAATTCTCACTTCTCCGTGTTACCTGACAAGACGATGAAAAGACCGACTCCAACATAGAAGTCGTGCTCCATCACGAAGAACTCTTTGCTGGCGAGGAATGTGCCGATGGAGGCGAGGGCCATGTAAGGTCCGGTTACTCCGGTCTTGGAGTAGAAGGCGGTAAACCACTCCTCAGGGAAGATTCCCATACGGACTGGACTCTTCTCAATAGGTCTTACTCTGAAATACGCGTTAAGATTACAATTGAGTTTTGGTTTTTAATTTATAGAAAAAACGTTCAATATTAATAAAGTTCTAATTTAGTCTTCTTTATGCTTCGTAATTAATAGTTTTCCAAAACAAAAGTTTTATATTTTACGTAAACAAGAAAAACCCCGCGGGCATTAGATATTTCTTGTGAGAAAATATGCTTGCAGAATCTTATGATAAATGTAGTGAGATATAAAACATATTGTTTCACGGCATTACACTCTCTCTACCAAGACCCACTATTTCTTCGACCAGTGTAAAGCAGATTAATGCATTACGCACCGAAAACTTACTTTCGGGTGATTATATATTATATATTTAGCATAGTCATGCTAAAATAAAAATTGTTTCCCAAAAACATTTTCAATTTATTCAAATAAATATGGAGGATGTAAGACAGAACTTGAGAAATTCAAGAACGTTTTAATTTTAACCAGTGCTTAGGATCCATTTAAGTTTGATGCGGATCCTGATCCTGGATCCCCACTGGAAAAATGGATTCGGATCCAGGTCATTTCTTTAAGATTCACTTAATTTTTTGACAAAAAATAATTTTCAAATTTTTAGTTTTATTTTTTTTCGAATATTTTAATCCTAAAACTTGATGAACCATTCAGAAATGAGGAAATTTTATAATCTCTTTTTTTCAAAAGTTCAGATTTTGGTTTTAGTAGTTGGTTGATACTTTACCCCTTGGATCCGGATCCGTAGATCCGCATATTTTTGCGGATCCTAAGCACTGATTTTAACATTATCCTAGTTTGCTAGATCCGAAATAAAATATGCAGCAGAGGTTCTCCTCCGACTCCCAAGTCCCCCAAAATCTACTAATTTCTTTAAAATCTTTAAAAGTTAATTTTCAATGGTCAGTATTAAACTTACCTCTTGGGGAAGTTGACAAGATCCCTCTGACCGCTGGCGGCAACATCGCTGCTGGGTCGGACGAAGCAGACGGTGGCGCGGTTCTATAGGCAACATATATATATTTATATACGAATGTTTTTATTATGTAGATATTTTTGAACAAAAGAGTAAATGTCGGTTAAACATTAGTTGAAAAGTGTCAGATAAAGGTTCAATGAGTAACGTGGTAGACAAATCATTACCGTATTTCAAATTAGGGCATAAAATTTAGTGAACAAAGAGTACATTTACAAATACAACAACGGTTATTAGAAAACACTCAATCCGATAACAAAATCCCCCTCCCCTCAACGGGGTAGTTTCCATAGTGAAGAGACATTAAAATAAACAAGATGCGACAGCAGATCGATGACGCAAAATAATGATAAGAAATAACTTCCTTGAAGTCAAAATTTCTATCGTTTCATTTTATAACCTGTAACTACATTTCTATGTAAAATTACTTTAAAATGAAACAAAAATTAAGAAACCTTAAGTTTTATTTTAAAAAGAAGATTTTATCTCGTGATATTGGTTCAGTGCACGTTACTTGTTTAATGTTTATACAGCTAAATAAACATTGCTTGTAATTGTAATCCTAAAGAATTTGTCCACCACACTGAAAACTCAGTTTAACTACCTTGCATAGCCGGTCTGTCCCTTTAATGTTCATACAGCTATATAAACATTGCTTGTAATTACAAAACTAGGATTTTCCATATTTTTTACCTATGCTTAGTAGTCCAAGTTAATCTCATTAATTCGCGTCTCTGAAACCTCTCGTGTTTGTGATGATACAAATCCTATAAAAGAAACGTTAAAAATAAGATAAACATATTCCACTGCATTAATGATTAGAAAACCCTCTCCATTTTGCTTAACAGTCCATCACTAAGGGATGACCACATGATCGAACTGGAATACAATACGGTTGTTGCAAATGTAATTCATAATTGAAGGCAGGGGGGAGGGTTCAATTGTAGTGTAATTCCGCTCAGCAAATTATAACGTGTTATTGTCGTAACTACGAGTATTCTATGAAACTCATTCGTGTACGAAGCATATCGTTTATTCGAATATAAGAGGGGGGGGGGAGGGGATTACTCTAGTTTTAATGCATAATCCAGTCATACTTCTTCTAGCTCTGTAAAGTGAGGGCAATAACCAAGATTTTTAAGGTCACGAGAAAGGGTATTTTGTTGAAATTTCTAAACTGACCTTCATTTGTTCTACATGTTGCACATTAAGTTTCGAATCCGTTTCAACTACATTCGACCTAAAATAATCTATTAACAGAGTGTACAGATGAGAAAACGTCTTAAGAATTTTCAACGAATGAAATATGGTGAACACTGTATGTCAGCTGAATGGCTGCAAAGCTTTCTCAACTCAATATGGAGATTTACTTTCATTTTCTTCCGCGGCATGTGGACGCTACATACAATCAATGAATCATTCGAAACTGGAAGTTTACTCGAAATTTTATCATTCGACCTACGCAAATCCGATATACACAACTTTTGACCAACGCTAAATCCTCTATGCTAAACAACCGCTCTACTAGCACGTTGTTTTACAGCTTCTAGATAGACTTGTGGTCGCACCGCCCGACCACCAGGGAGGGGAGGAAGGCCAACCACATCAATCTCTAGTCCGAACCACATTCTCTTCATTTTCTCGTCCGAACCACCTCGAAATCCTCGTCCTTTCAATATTATTTTTTTTTAAGTGTCTAATCCTTCCATATAAAACTATTTTTTTAAGAATCAAGCCACGTTAGGGCATAAATGAAATATCAAATTTTTGTAAATCAAAGTAAAAAGTTTCAATTGAATTAAAGATTTCAAGTTTAATGTCCTTAAAAATGTACACCTTTTTTGCGCGAATTTTCAGATATTCCGCAAATAATTCCAAATTTATAGAACTTTAATCTTTTTTGTTAACTACAGTGAAAACCATAGAATTTTTCCGGGTGGTTTCATGGGGAAAATTATAGGCAGAGGTATGCCGAATATTTTTCTATTTTTTTTATATCACGAATTGGTTAGCCATTATGGAGGCAGAAGAGATCTAAGTTTTACCTAAATAATGTTTGACATCATTCTCGTGGATTTGAAGATTCCAACATCTCAAAATCCTTGGAAAACTTTATTCTAGTCATGTTTTATGCCCTAATGTCGCCATATTTTTAAAAATGTATTTATTTTCAAGGATCGGACACTTAAAAAAAATAATATTGAAAGGACGAGGATTTCAAGGTGGTTCGGACGAGAAAATGAAGAGAATGTGGTTCGGACTAGAGATTGATGTTGGCCTTCCTCCCCTCCACCAGGCCTGTCATATCCGCGGTGTCCGACCCCCTAGCCTGTCCTTAAGAGGGAGGGAAGTCAACCTCCCCCGCACAGCTTCCGAACCTCATTTTACCTATTTGCGGTAGTGCGCGTCCCCAAAAAGCTTCCGAACCTCCCCCAAAGAGTCTTCAGGGAAGGATCTTCCATTTATAATCGCCAATTTCTACTTAAACGGGACTAATTTGACTATTTAAGCACGGTAGTCGATCTATTGTATCCTTAACATTTGCATAATATTTTTTTACGGCCTTGGAGGATGGTTTGGGAAGTTGGGAACTGAAAAGTATATGAAGTATGTAATATACTTGGGAGAGATATGGTATTGGGAACAGAAGAGTATATGAAGTATAATATACAATACCTAAGTATAGGTAGGGAAAGATGGTATGGGAACAGAAGAGTATATGAAGTATATAATACTAGCCTTAGAGGGCGCTTCGCGGCCATCTTCCAAATTAATTGTAAACATGTTCTCTTTCTGTACATCGTTAAACAAAACAAAAATAATTTGCGGATTTTCACAAAAAATTTCGCGGATTTTCAAAATTTTCAAAAATTTAATGACGATCGAATTTTGATGGAGACAAATATTTGAACTTTTGATCATTCATAAACCTTCCCTGGTAAAGTATATAATATACCTAGGTATAGGTTGGGAAAGATGGTATGGGAACTGTGGTTCAGGATGCCAGCAGCAGATTATATCTCCAGTAGTGTTTGTACAGATTCCTTCCTCCCTACATTATATAATATTAATAATACTTCATAAGTTCACATCAACCATAAATGAAAAAGTTTTATGCAGCGTAAAAAATACCACATAGTTCAATTAAAAATTCCCACTCGTTGAAGAAAAGTAGAGAAAAGGTATTATGCCTTTACAACTGATTCCATTAATCCACAATATGTAGCATTTAGTATTTAAGTAAACTGTCGGTAAAATTATGTAATCCTGAACCTGGACTGTAGAAACTATCAGAAAAGTAATAAATACTTGAGATAGACTTTAGTTGTTACCTGTATCTATCCTTCTTCTCCGCCCTTGTTATCAGACTGGAGGAGAGTAACCGTCTGAGCGGAAGGTTGACCGACATCGGAGAAAATTTCGCCAAAAACATTATTTCTATAAAGATACAAATGAGATCAAAAAACAATCTTACTTTCCTTTCAAGTTCGAATTGGTACAACAGAAAACACTGGATTTACTAATCGGTCTTGGACTGATCCAGTGTTGAGTCCGGATTTAATCTTCTAGCAGTCGGAGCAACAAATGAACGTCCTGCAGCTACTAAAACAATGATGAATGCTGTAAAAATTATCAGGAGAACCGAGGTCTGAAACAAACTTCTCTTACAAAGGAAGGAGAGAACTAGGATTGATAATGCTGCCAGGATGAGAAACCGATGTCCTGCCAGGAACCTAAAAATATAAATAGACATGATAATTGTTGTAAAATAATAATTGTTTTGATTAATATTTAAATCCATAATTTCGTTTTAACCTAAGGTTGATTCGAGCACTGTGGGTGTGGAAAACTCTCCGAGCAGGACCTCCGTCTAAACTTTTCTCCAGGTGGTAGAATCTACACGGAGGAAGGAGAACAATCCGGGATATTTCACCCAGCACACTTTCCTCTCCATACATCTCACGCATCCTTTCTCCGTATCTTTGATTCAGCCAGGAACTAAACCTGTGCATCAGTCGAACAATCCCTCCGATCTCTGATTGGTTAATAGGAACCTGATCAGGGTCACCTCCATATCTAAAGATAAAATACATAAGGACTAAAATTTTGATTTTAATCTTTAAACTTGATATCATTAAGGATTTAAAGGTCGAGGAGAACGGATCGGTAAGATTGAATAAAAAAGATGAATGCGTAAAGTGTGGATGAAGAGGGGAGAGGGAGGAACGAAGAGGGAGAATAATAATTGAAAAGAGAGATACTGAATATGAATTACTGGGACATAAAATTAATTGGAATCAAAAAAAATATTCAAGGTATGTAGATAAACTAAATCCTTCTTGTTACCTGACTTCTGGTTTAGCCAGACCCTGGAGAACCTGCCATCTACCGTGTGGAGTTAGAACCCGTCCTGCATCTTCCTCACTCATCTCAGGATAACCAGGACTACTTCCTGACAAGATCAATCATTCATTTATTTATAATAAAAATTATTAATTTTAAGAGACTGTCTCCGTAATTGCATACTATTTAAAGAGGAACATGCCTGGTTCAAATTATTAATTTTAAGAGACTGTCTCCGTAATTGCATACTATTTAAAGAGGAACATGCCTGGTTCAAATCGACATCCTTGAAACCTTCCTCTGAGTAGAAATAAGAAAGAAATTGTCGTTTTTCTATATATATATTAATAGTGATTTTTCTTCCTTCTTTCTTCTTTCTGCTACATAAATATTTCAGTAACTTTTACAAACCCACAATTGAAAATGATCAAAAAAAGGTTTAATGTTAATTGTAATGAACGATCACTTGATATTATGTTGACAGTTTAACCTAAACTTGATTCAATCAAGAAAACCTTTTTAAAAAATTTGAGCCACCCTCGTCAACACTTTATCTTTAAGGGTAATAAGTAAAATTAAGCAATTATTAATAGAGGCTCCAAATCTGCGCTGGTTAACTTTATAAAATTAGAATAACATTGAAATATAAAATGTTATCAAGACTGAGAATGAAAGATTTGTTGGAGATGACGAGATATAATTATTAACGATAATTAGGTTGATAATGCGCAAAAAGTGTTGAACTGACATTACGCTTAGTCACTAATCATAAACATAAAATTCAGTAATCATAAACATATAATTTAGAAATAATTAGTCAACAGCTCAAGCAACGTGAAAAGATTTAAAAAATAATACGGGATTCTGGTATCTGTAGATAGTATACATGCACCTAGTTTTCTCCTGGTACTACTGGATTCTGGTATCTGTAGAAAGTATACCTGGACCTAGTTTTCTCCTGGTACTACTGGATTCTGGTATCTATATATAGTATACCTGAACCTAATTTTGTCCTGGTACTACTGAATTCTGGTATCTGTAGAAAGTATACCTGAACCAAGTTTTCTCCTGGTACTACTAGATTCTGGTACCTATAGAAAGTATACCTGAACCTAGTTTTCTCCTGGTACTACTGGATTCTGGTATCTATAGAAAGTATACCTGAACCTAATTTTCTCCTGGAACTACTGGATTCTGGTATCTATAGAAAGTATACCTGAACCTAGTTTTCTCCTGGTACTACTGGATTCTGGTATTTGTAGATCAAAGATTGAAGAGAGGGAGGTGATAGAATTGTTAAGATACTGAACACTCTTCCGGAATTCTTCAACCTAAACAATTAATAAATACAAATGTTCTTGATGCTACTTTATAATACTAATAGATAACTAAACTTAACTCTTATTTTAACCTGTACCTCTGTAAAGTCTGGAAAGGGGAAGGCGGAGGCTCAGAGAATGAGCTAGTCTTAAGGGAAAGGGTTTAGACTAAGAGGAAAGTGTCAGTACCTCTTTAAAGTCCTGTTGGAGAGAAGGGCTCAATGGAAGAGGTATACCTCTGTCTGTCAGTCCTAAGGGGAAAGGGAGCTAAAAGGAAGAGTTATTATCTCTAAAAATTGCGGAGAGGGGAGGAAGGCTAAATGATTAAACTGTTATTACCTCAGAAGAGTCCTGAGGTGGAGCTCCAGCTCCAGCAATCATGTTTATCAATCTATCCATCAAGGTTTTATTCTCAGGATTCTCCTAAACCAGATTGTTTGAGTAAAAAAAAAAAAGTTATCCTAATTTTTAAAAAATGAAAACATTTGATAAATTTTCACCTTGTTGGCCTCACTGATGCTATCTTCTGCCACCTGTTTGGCCCTGCTAGCGAGGATGAGAACCTCGGATACGGTTTGCCGGAATGAGTTTCCGAAGATTGGTTCATACCTCACCGATCCTTCCAACTCCAGCAGACACTGCCTGGCGGAGCTGATCACGTTCTCATTCATCTACGACAAGTTTAATTTGTTAAAATAAGATATTAACGGACAGGAAGAAACAGACAGGATGGGCAGGATAAAAACGGACAGGAAGAGCAGGATAAAAACGGACAGGAAGAGTAGGATAAAAACGGACATGATGAGCAGGATAAAACGGACAGGATGAGTCGGATAAAAATGGACAGGAAAAGTAGGATAAATACGGACCGGAAGAGTAGCATAAAAACAGACAGGATGAACAGGATAAAAACAGACAGAAGAGTAGGATAAAACGGACAGGAAGAGTAGGATAAAAACGGACAGGATGAGCAGGAAAAAAACGGACAGGATGAGAAGGATAAAAACGGACAGGATGAGCAGGATAAAAACAGACAGGATGAGCAGGATAAAAACAGACAGGAAGAGCAGGATAAAAATGGACAGGAAGAGTAGGATAAAAACAGACAGGAAGAGCAGGATAAAAACAGACAGGAAGAGCAGGATAAAAACGGACAGGATGAGCAGGATTAAACAGACAGGAAGAGCAGGATAAAACAAACAGGATGAGCAGGATTAAACGGACAGGATGAGCAGGATCCCTCATCAACTTCAGAACTTAGGCAATCAGCATTTTCTAACATGAGGGCCGAGGGGGTATTATTTTCTAACATGAGGGCCGAGGGGGTATTATTTTCATAAAATGGCGTATGTATTGTATTCCCCGATGGAGTTAATTCAACGTTTTTAATAACTGAGGCAACCCAAATAAAACTTAGGGGTGTATGGAGAAAACCCACATAGAATACATTTATTACCTCTGAGTTAATGTTGTAGGGCGGCATTTCGCTGAAACCTGTTCGATCTAGGCTAAAATCACCAACAGACATAATTCTATCCAACCCACTCTCTCCGTTCTTCACAAGATTAGCTAACCCTGCCTGGGAGTAGATCTTAGAGATCCTGAAGAGCATGTACGCGTTCTTGCTGGTAGTTAAATCCATCCTAAAGAAGCGTGGGAGAAGAAGACGAAGAATGTTTGTATAGAAGAGAATATTCTCCGCTACAAAGTTTAGCCATTTATCATCAATACTCATGGTGCAGGTTTCATCAGTACCCCGCACTCTAGCAGCGGAGTCAGTGTACCGCCACGGCTGAACATAATGTTTATTATAAAACAATAAATAAGATAAAGCTCAAAAACTCTTAATAAATTCCTCCGAAAAGGAGAAAACACTTCCAACAGATCAAGTAAGATCAGTCCGAAGCGTACCTTGATCTAGATTTTAATTAAGTGGCTAGATAAAAAAAATCATTAATTTTAATCTCAACTTACTTAAATTTCATTTCAATTCATTTCTTTCATGCTTAAGGGATTTTTTTTTAAATCTGAAAAAAGACAGATGGCAAAAACTCGAGATAAATATGCGTGCAAAACTTTGGGAATCTTTCATGAAAAAAAAACATAAATAAAGAAAAGCCCAAGAACGTTGATAAAATTACCTGAATATAGGAGAGCCAGGTTTCTAGAACCAATCTGAAGGACGTATCATGAGGCCAGTGAGAAAATATAAACTTGAAGAGAACGTAAACCTTCTTCTTGATGTTAGGAATAACACAACGCTTCAATTGATCCAATGGTGTGAGGTCTAATGGTCCACCGGAGTTAGCGAAGAAATGGAGATGTTTAATCATCATTCTAACTATTCTCAGTGTGTCTCCAACAGCTATAACTAGATCGTTTGTTTTCTGATTTAGAGACGGACTCTCACTTTTAGACTTCGAGGGTTGGGAGAACGGAGAAAGTAGAAGTTCAGAGCAGATATTTATCAAGGTTTCTGATCTCCACACTTCGTGTCCAGTCATAGATGAAATTGTTGGTGAGGTTGGAATACTCCGGGCTGGTGTTGATAGGAGGGGGCCCTGTCGGAGTAAAGATTTCCTGGACGGAGACGGAGCAGGAGTATTTATTTCCGGAATGTGGGTAGGAGATGACATGCTAAGATGGAAGGGAAGGGGGGGAGGAGCTGAACCGTCGCAGGGTAAAAAATAGGAGAAATAATCCTCAAGGATATTTGGATAAAGAGAATCTCCTGGTACAAACTTATTATCAGCAGTATAGGGTTGCACGATATAAGCTATAAACGTGAACATGTAGAACTCGTAGGAGTTGAGGAGAAGGACTGAGTTCTGAGCTGATAGTTTAGACATTATAAACTGTGAAGCAGTTCCAGATTCAATCTGTTGTTTAGTTGAGGTTGAGAGCAGGGAGATAGGGAAATCAAACCTGAGATAGGGATCCGACAGTAGTTTGAAGCTTGAACGTAGAACAGGACCGTTGGATCCCAAGAAATCTATCAGTGCAAAGAACTCCCGAGGTTGTGTGGTTTTTAGAATAGAGTTAATCCCAAATCCTCTCCCACCGAAGGTTAGACCAAACGTTTTATCGACGATCCTATGAAAAGCTGTGGGTAAATCCTTCTGCGGACAGTTGTTTAGAAGATAAGTCAGCTCAGAACACTTTTGGGGCAGTGTCGGGGCATTTAGAGCATAATCAACCGAACTAAGAAAACTAGCTCCGGTCTGCGGGACCGGTGAAGCTGGAGAACCAGCCTGATTGCGGCCTGGAGTCAGCCCGAACATTTCTGAAGGAGATTTAGGACTTAGGTTCTCCTTCAGGGTTTGTATCCCTGACTTGAGAGGAGTTGTAGCTTCGGATGTAAGTAAACTCGAACCCAACATTTTCTATCTGAAATATTAATGAATAGTTACACCGAATTGTTTGGCAATATCTCTAAAATGTTTCCCCCTTCCAACAGTATTTTTATAGTTTAACTGTGATTTATTTCTGCGCAAGAACTTGTCTAATTTCTTCCCAGATGCTTCGCAGCAAGCTTCGGAGCAGGAAGCAGAGAACTTGAACGCACAATCCACGCAGGCGGTGAACACGTTGTTGCAGGAGATGTTGTTACAGTTGTAGCAGGTGTCTGCGGGTGCACCGCAGTGGCTGCATTTACTAATGATCTCATCTTCAGATCCTGTATTCTCAGATATTGGAACAACTAATCTATCATCAAATACAAAGAGTTTTCCTCTCCATTGGTTGGTTTCAGATTGTGCTCCGTACTCCAGTATACCTCCCTTAAGTTGATAAACATTCTCAAATCCTTTATTCTTTAGTACAGAGGAGAACAGTTCACATCTATACAGAAAGATAAATATTCAAAATGCAATACTTTCGAGAAAAAAAATGCATAAAATATATTTCGAAAAATTTGTCCAAAAACTCAATCATTTGACTCCTAACATCATTAATTCACTGTTAATTCAAGGATTAAACGCCCTGAATATTCCTAACATACTTGGGAGTTTTCTTAAGAGGTGGGAGGGGGAGTGGAGATGGGTGTCTTATCACCTGGCATGTTATTCCGACTTGCAAGTCTTTATCGCATACTAAATGAATTTTTTACCAAATTATTAGTTTAATTATCGAAAGTTTTTTTCCCACTCCGAAATTCATCCATTTCCAAGAAAATTTAGTTTCTTCATTATTCCAACCCAAATATATTTAATTGAAAATTGGGGAGTTTTTTTGAGGGTAGTAGGAAGGGTGATTTTGCAACGAAATATATCCTTTTTGAATGAATGAAAATGAATATTAATATATATTTCTTACCTGATTCCTCCAGTGCAGTACATCATTATTTTCTTATCCTTATTTATCGTATTCGAGATTTTCTCGGCATAATTCAGGAACTCATTGAACGTCCTGAATTCTGGTTTCACACTGTCCTTGAAGTGTCCGATCTCCCACTCGTATTTGTTCCTGACGTCGAGGAGGACGGTGTTCTCGTCTTTATTCTCCATCATCAAGTTCCACTCTCTAGCAGTCAGCTGATCTCCACAACTATAAAACAATATTTTGACTAATTTAATCATTTAAAAAATTATATATTTCACTAGTTTGTTTGTTGCTTCGTTTGTTGATATCGCATCGTGCCAAAATGTTTGTAGACTACACATTTGCCCTCAAAACTACAAATTAAATATTTCGGGAATCCACCAATGTAAACAAAAAAAAACGTGAACATTTTTTTTTCAGTTTCGTGAAGTGCGGAAAAATTGTGTCATGGAAAACAATATAAAAAAAAAATTATTACTAGAAAAATCCACAGAAAAAAAACTGTTAGTAAATACCTCCTGTTAGTAAATACCTCCGTTTCATAAATACCTTTTCGAGTCAAAATTTTCATCCAATCCTTCCAATAGTTTCCCGTGCCGAATTCTAAGCAAAGGATAAAAAATAAACGAAAGTAAAGTATCAAAATGCCCTTTGAGGAAAATTTTACTTGAAAAATAAAAATAATAACTTTTAAATCCTTTACTTACATCCCTGAGTCGGTTAAAAACTTGAAAGTCTGAAAACTGGGTTTTGAAATCTATATTTTCACAGATATTATCACAGAAGAAGATTTCAGTCTGTTTCTGGTGTTCGGAGGGTAAACACATCTGAGCATTTATCCCAACCTTGTTCACATAAATCCGTCCCTTGGCATCTATCTGCTCCAGGTGGGATCTTACCAACTCAACCAACGATCTTGGATTATTTAACTGTGTAAACTTGTAAAATGAAATGACGGCAAAATCATTTTGATTGCTGGAGTAATTCCGCCTAACCCAGAGAAGAACGGATTTGACGGATCTCAATCTCTGATCCTTGGATATAGTAGCTCGAAGTAATGTAAAGTTTTGTAACATTATTCTGAAATGCACTAGAAATATTATAGATATCACATTATCTATTTAAATTTATTAATATTATTGTAATAAAATAGTTTTAGCACGATTACAAATATATATGTGTACATCTGCACTGTACAGTTTACCTTTAGTTAGTTACGAGGTATAATCTCAGATTACATTTTTGAACTATATACTCCTCTTAGACTTTCCTGACAGTCTTGTTCCATTCTTCCTCCGACATGAGTTCTCCCTGGTTATCATAGGAGTTGTATCCAACCCAGTCCAGAGCGATTGGAGCAGAAAGCATGGTATCAGTGATAGCAAAACTCTCACAGAGAGAGAGAGCTTGAGGACCAAGCTCGGCGCACAGTTCTGCAGCATTTCCACGCACAAGTCCGACATCCTCGGGTTGAAGCAGTCCGGAGATAACAAACCAGGCCAAGTTCTTCTCCAGGACAGAGGTTAGGTAGAGATCTAGAACCTTGGACAGAACTGAAGTCAGGTCGGAGTCACAAGTTTTCAAGGTTTCGACAAATCTCTCCGTGATAAGTCTGTCTGCGAAAGATCTAGGAAGAAAATAGATAATAACAATATATAAAAGATCGAAAAATATTTATATTTTACAAGTTTTTTCTTACTTGGCTGCATGCTGGATAAGGTCGGACTCCTCAAGCATCCAAGAATTAAAAGTTCCTGCTTTCCCTGCGGCGGCCATCTTATGTCCTTGAAATAAAAATAAAATTATCTCACCGAAAACAATGCATCTTTAAAAAGTTGTTGAGAAAAAGCAATTTAACATTTATCTCGTAACCGATGAACAAAATGTTCAGGAGTTGTGAATCATAACATTCTTTAAATGTTGGGTAATCATCTTTACACAAAGCCTTTTAATAAATAGTGTGACATGATGAAACCTGGTTCTATTTAATAATACTAGTGAAAAGATTTAAACTTTGAAAAATTCAAAAGACATGTATTAGAGGGACTGAAAAAGAGAAATGAAAGGGGGTATAGGTTGAAACCTAAGCACTTTAGGAGTTGATATAGACCAATAAGAGTTCTATTTGATGTTCCTGTCTCGAGAAATTAATATAAAACCTGTGTCAAACTTATACGAAAATCTATATCTATATAAAATTTTGTGTAAAAATAGTAGGTTTAAGTTTATTATATTCAGCAAATACGCAACCAATCTGAAAACGAAGCTATCCCAGAGGAGCCTGGGTAACTTAGATTTGCTTCTATTATTATTTGAATTTCATGATTTTTCATTTTTAATAGAAACGGAGATACGTGACAATAATATTGCATTGTCATTGGTGGGAGTTCTGGTCACGTCATAAGGACATAATAATTACATTGTCAATTATATCTAAAAAATGAAAAATTATCAAATTCAATGGTTGCGTATTTTCTGAATGTAATCTATTTAGAACTACTATTTTGACACACAGTTTTATATCAATTTCTCAAGACAGGAAAATGAGATAGAACTCTTATCATTATCACGTAACTCCGTCTGTATCACGTGACCAGTATACTGCACTGACATTGATGGGAGTTTTTGTCACGTGAAACGGACCTATAAATAATATTATCAATTATATCTTTTATAACTGAAAAATTGTTGAATTCAAATAATAATAGAAGCAAACCAAAGTTTCTTGGGCTCGTCTGGGATATCGTCGTTTTCAGATTGGTTGTGTATTTGCTGAATATAATCCGTTTAAACCTACTATTTTTAAACAAAATTTAAATTTAACCAATTTCTCGAGACAGGAACATCAAATAGAACTCTCAGGGGTCTCGGTGAACTCCTAAAACGCTTAGGTTATTGCGGATACCCCCTTTCATTCTTCCTTTACAGTCCCTTTAAGTATATTTAAAAATTACAATATTGGCTTACCAAGTTCATTAAAAAGTTTCTCTTCTCTGGCCTGGATGAGATAAACCAAATACTTGGTATCCGTGATGTCGGAGCTCCCAGGTTTCTCAACCTTCAGAGGGTTTTTAGCGATAATTCCTAGGCGCTCCTTTGCAACCTTTTGCATCAAGACGGAGTTGTCCCCCTCGGCGGTCATTGCAGCGTGAGCTAATCCTAGGAACGTTCCAAACCTGAAATAAAGAGTAAGATATTTTTAATTGTTAATCGCAATAAACTGTGTGTATAATATTAGTGACTACATTATTTTCCTTCCTTATTACTTAATTATTTTATTTAATCACACATGTATTGTTATGGGATTTAAAAGGGGAATATATCTTCCTATGTTCCTGCTCAATAAGAGGATAGGTTTTTATCTTACTCAAAAATTAAAATAACACAACAGAGAACCCGGCCAGGTTTTGTTACTTAACTTAATTTGAGTAGAAATACAAGTGAATCCCCTAAAAAAAACATTTAAGATCTGACCTGTTACATGATAGATATCCCTGTCCGCCACATCTCTCCCTGCATACGGATACAGTCTCCTCCAGCAACCAGGAGGCTGTAGGTTTGATAGCGCAGCACATGGTTACAACCTCCTTATGCTCTGACCCATCAGCAGCTTGGAATGCCCACCTGTCTTTCACGTAGTCCAATCCTAGATAAACAAAACTATCATCAGTTCAGGCGGAAAAATTAGTTTAACCCGGAGAACATTTAATCAAGGTTTTTTTATCAACAAACCTTTAGACGGTTAATGATCTAAACAGGCACAGAAACGGAAAGCAGTTACGGATCTTATCAATAAGATTAGAAACCCGTAATTTCCATTAATATAATATTTTACAAGTCAATGAAAATCCACCTCATGATCCCAAGCCCAACTTACAAGTGGAACAGAAAATACCCATGTCCTTGTTGTATAATGATTAATTAAAATAGGACAATGTACAGAAAATTCCATTAAGAGAAATGTATAGTAGGTGTATATTTGTATCTCTATATATTACTTGTGACTATGTCCTCCATTTGACACACCGTTGCAGTAACTTAAAGGGACTGTTAAGGAAAAATGAAAGGGGGAATAGGGTGTAACATCAGATAGAAGTCACATCAGCTTCTAAAAAGTTTAGGTTACAACCCCCAACCATTTTACTCAGTCCTTTTAAGTAGGTGTATTAAATGTAAACAATGAAGTTACATAATCGTAAAAAAAGATTTATCTAAACAAACCTATGTTAACAGCTATGATCCTGGAGAGAAGGGGCATGAGTGCTCTCTGCTGGAGTTGGTAAACTAGAATGGGTGTATCAGATTTACCAGTAGGACCTACTGTTAACCTAGTAGCAGCATACCGGACTGCTATGGAGATACTTGCTTTAGCGCCACCTAAAATCAATCAATCATGTGGAACGACGTTATCACTCAACACAAATATCTGGATGGCATTGTTTCTGTCTTTTTTTATTTTGGTGAAGAAAGTTTTTAATATTCACCTAATGACATGCTTGCAATGCAGATTCTACCGGAGAGGAGCTGATCGGCAACCGTTAAAAATCGTTGACGGCCGCCGCCGATTTCTGATGTGAAAGTTCCGTCTTCGGCGACGTCCGACCAACGGTTCAGCAACGCTTCCCTAGGCACACGGACATTGTCGAAGGAGAGTTTTGCGTTGTCTACACCATTGAGTCCCATCTTGTATCCCATATCCTCGATAGTTACTCCGGGTATAGTTTTAAGCTCGTTATCTCTCATTCTAACCAGGATAGCGTGGATACCCTCATTCTTACCCTTGACAATCAGTTGAGCCATGACAACGACATGCTTGGCGTGAACAGCACCATTTGTGATCCAGTATTTCTGCGCTAATGTGTTCGGGGTGTTGACGATAAACTCCTTGGTTGCAGGATCATAGGTAGCCGTGGTTTCCATCTCAACAGCATTATTACCATATCCAAGCTCTGTTAATCCAAAGCAACCAATATCATTGAGATTATCAATCCCAGCCAGCAGATCCTTATGATGCCGATCCGTCCCAAGCTTGAGGACGGTACCACCGAACAGGTTAAACTGAACAGTCATCTTGGTCGTCATCGCCGGGTCAATAATAGCGGTCAGCTCGTGAGCTGCAAATATTCTGAGAGGGTTGTTCCAGAAGTCCAAGACGGAGATAAACTTGTTATCGCAGATCCTCTGAAGCCTACGGAGTGCTAAATCTCTCTCCTCCTCCAAGGAAATGTTGTAACGCGGAACCATCACCGGCTCAGAGATAAATTTTCTACAAAATTAACTATATCTATCAAATTATGTTAAAAGTTTTAAAAATGTAGTAAAAATTTCATGTAAATCCTAAAACTGAAAAACTAAAACTTTTTTGTTTTTATCTGAACTCAATTTTTACAAATCTCTATGATAAAAAAAGTTTAAACCATTTGTCCAGCTTTTATCAAATATTCCATTTTTATATGTTGACTTTTCCTTCTCAAAATATATAAAAATCTACATAATTGGAAGAGATGGCTGTGGGGGGACGTTTAATGAAAACAAGAACCCCTTTCTGAACCTTATTATACCTGAAGTCTGATCTCATCTGATGATTATCATGATCAAGAAGAGCAGTGAGCTTCTCGACCGGGAAGTTTGGTGTGAGAAGGGTTCTCCGGATATCTGCAGGTTTCATCGTGTTGCTAAAATATTATTCATTTTTTAGATGATTTTAGAAGATTTTCTTTGATGAGAAATTGAACACCATTTGTGAAGATTTTCCTTCTTTATTTGATACTTACCACTAGAAAATTCAATCATTCTAACCTAAATGTAATCCATAGTTTCCAAATTCAGCGATGTTAAATAACATGCATTAAATACTGGGGGGGGGGGGGGCAACAAATACACCCCCTGCTTTATTGTTAATTGGATTCAATCACATTTGCTTCTTGTTGCAAAATTGATAATTGAGATCTTGATTCAATTCGATAAAAATTACTTTTGCTGAAAAATATAACTGCCTACCTGCCTTGTAAATAAACGCATTTTATTTCTTACTTAAGTTTGGGTTTGGCTGAAGCATGTCTTCTCTGTAAATATTCTTGTCTGCTCAAGGTTTGAGAAGAGGATAAGAGGGGTAGGGTTCTCAAACATGCTCTTCTCCTGATCAAACCCAGAGCTAATCCTTCCATTTTCAGCATGTCTAATATTAATATAAAAAAAACATTTTGGTTGTAAACAAGATTTTATTGCAATCATAACTATGTTCTATTAACCTAATTTTGTTAAGAATAACATAGAAGTTAATAATGCTATTAATTCCTTAAGAAAAATAAACGACGAGAGGCAAAATATAAAGATTTCACAGGCATTCAAAGCCCTATTTCGATCTTTTACAGCATCGTTCTGAAGAACGCCATCCTAGGACACCCCCCCCCCCCACACCTCCTACGCCAGGGCAAGGACAGGCTTTGGGCCCAAGTACCAAGACTGAAGGCCTTACCAAGGGGTTGATTGCTTTATAAATAGAAAGTGTACATTCTAGAAAGAATGCTCGGGTACGTCCTAGTATACGATTTATTGCCCCACTCCCTCCCTCCTATTTTTTTTTGTACAGGACTACTAATTTCCAAAAAATTCATTATTATTGTTTTATATTAGGGTTAAGTTAGGTTAAGACAATTTCTGGACCGAGTGCTGCGGCTAGAACAGGCTAGGGACCGAGCAGCACCAAAGACAGGCTAAGGGGCCGTGCGCTGCTGCCATATTACCAATTGTATCCATGTGTTACATATGAGTTCCATGTAGAAAATTGACAGGAGGAGGGGGGGCAAAAATCAAATACTAGTAAATTACCGAGTGCTTTTTTCTTTTCATGATTTTCATGTTAAGTTAAATTAGAAAAGGTTAAAAAAGTGATTTGAATTATATCGTTAATCAAGAAAAAATAGAGGCTGGATTTGTAAAATAAACTCTATTAACAACAGAAGTCAAAATTCGCAGTCGTCCATTCTTTCTTATTAAATTTTGCCTTTATGAAATTTATGAAACCATTTCTAGAAGCGTATCTTCCGCGTCTTTTTCCATATTTAACGATAAGAAAGACGACATTGTTTTACCTCATCCTTTTCCCTTGAGTTGAAATAAAAATTAATGATTTAAACCCACAAACTTACCGTGGGAACCAGGGGCGTACAAGACCATTTGTGTAGGGGTTGGGGGGGGGCACATTCAAAATTGTGTGCCCCCCTTAAGACCCCTTTATTTTGTAACGTTAAATAACGTCATTTTAGTAACATTATTTCATGCTTATAGGTTTATTTTTACGTAACAGAAGGTCACTGAATCACCTTACATTGGACTAAATTAGGTTTCTTAAACTTAATATTCATGAAACCCAACTGCACAAAAATGCATTTTTAAGTTAGAATTTAAAAATATTTTATGATTTTTCAATAAAAGGTATGTAAGACATTTAATGCAAACATTAGCTAAATACAATGTTTCAAATTTCCTATTATTTTGGAGTAAATTGATGTTTTCATTAGAATCTATGTCTGTAAATTCTTGATTTTTTATAAACATAAATGAAATTCCACTTTAACAGTCTCGTACGGATAAAGTCTCGTAACAGGTATAATTGTAAGTATATGAAGTAGATAATAAATGCATGTTGAAGAAATAGACAAAATATATGCGTGTATGAATGTTGATTTAGATGGATACAGATGAAGGAATGATGGCAAGAATACCACAAACTCAAAAACCAAATATTCAAATTTAAGGAAAACCTTTAAGAAGTGTACGCTAAGCAATAAGGGCTGCAGGCTGCAATTTTTCAAACAAATTAAAACATTTTTTACCTATTTTCTTCGCCCAAACATACATTTTTCATCTTTCTTTCAATTTCTTCCTTTTTCTTCCTTCCTTCCTTCCTTACTTCCTCATCCATTCTTCCTTTTTCTCTCTTCAACTTTTCCTTCTTTCCTCTTTATCACTCTTATTCATCCTTATCTCCAGCTTCTTTTTTCCTTTTTCCATTTTTATTCTTTTTTCTTTCCTCCTTCTTTTTCTCATTCTTTCTCCTTCCTTCTTCCTTTTTTCCGTTTTCACTGTTCCTTCTTTCCTCTTATATTCTCGCTTTTTTCTCTCTCTTTCCTTCTTTCCTCGTTCTTTCTTCTTTTCTCTTTCTACCTCCTTATGTACTCTTTCTTCCTTCTTTACTTTTCTATTCTTGTGATAACCAGAAAACTGTAGAAAAGAATGACGCCATTAAAGCTTTACTAGTAAGTTATTAAATGAATTACTAAGGGAAATGGGTCTGTTTACACTGCACTATTGTTGTGCCTCATGTTTATTGGACTATTATAAGAAATAACTTGAGTCTAAAAGTTGACTTCCTATTCTAGAGTTTTCTGGTCTTAAAGTTGAACGGCAGAACATTTTATGGACAGAATGTTTTATAGACAGAACGTTTTGTAGACAGAATGTTTTATAGACAGAATGTTTTATAGACAGAACGTTTTATGGTCAAGACATTTTATTGAAAGAACGTTTTACGGACAGGACATTTTATTAAAAAAACGTTTTATGGACAGGACATTTTATTGAAAGAACGTTTTATGGACAGGAAAATTTATTGAAAGAATGTTTTATGGAAAGGACATTTTATTGAAAGAACGTTTTATGGACAGGACATTTTATTGAAAGAACGTTTTATAAACAGGACATTTTATTGAAAGAACGTTTTATGGACTGGACATTTTATTGAAAGAACGTTTTATGGACAGGACATTTTATTGAAAGAACGTTTTACGGACAGGACATTTTACTGAAAGAACGTTTTATTAGGAACCAACAAACATATTTACAAATATCAATCATAATATACTCAAACGATAGCATACATATATATATATAAAATAATTACCGCAGTGATCCTAGAATTATAAGCACGGTTACACTCGTAAGACAAATAAACATATACTAATACAGAAACTGTTCACTCTCACGCGAGAAATTTTGCGCCTGCGTAGTCAGTCTGTAAACAGCTCCTAAAACTAGCTCTTTCACAATACGTTCTGTACAGATCCTCAGGGAGAACTCAGAAATACACAGGGCATCAAGTAGACTTTATACACGGAGCATGGCTCACGTAACACAAACATAGATAGCTTATGTACGCAAAATCACCAAAAATTGTATAGTCCGCGAACTCATACTTCTAGGGGTCAAAGTGTACTTTAATGATAAGCGGGGTGGTTTGTTGTTTTAATGGATTTCATAATTATTAATCCACTCAGGAGTGAATTTTATTTTGAGAATATCAAATTATTTTACTGAGAAATATATCATATTGACGAGAACTGAAGAAGGACATGAGAAGGACTAAACTATAAACTTAAATTTCTTTTTACAGAACTCATGTACACCACAAGTACTCAATGACATAAGAACAGCCAATGTTCACAACCGACCTAGGGGATGAAAGTAGCAGTCAGCTCCCCACACGTCCGTACCTCGCAGGGGCTCTGAACACACCAACCCGGGTTTTTTAACACCAAGAGTTGGATGCAGTCCTACGCTGCAAGGTACATCTTGATCCGACTGCAGCAGCCAGGGCTGCAGACCGGACAATGCGGGGTCCCAACTAGTGAAATCCCGTCCTAGTTAATCTATATAATAAGAATATCTTTAAAACATCCCTGTACATTTATATCTTTCAAGATGAAAAATGTTGTCTTTATCTATGAGTGAAACCCTTAATAAAGAAAACATCGAAAGAATTCATCAAATGTCGTATTCTTCACTTTCTGATAATGGAATGTTGCATATATTTAGTTTTTTAATTAAATGATTATATGGAACTCCTTAAAACTGTTCCCGCATATTCATGACTATGTATTCATTTTCGCAAATACTAAAATTTACGTAATATAGTATAAAACTCATTGAAAAATTGTCAAGACGACATTTGATAAATTCTTNATTTTGTTATCTATGATTTTTATCTTTGGGTTTGTTATGTGATTTTTAACTTTGGGTTTGTTATGTGAATTTTATCTTTGGATTTGATATCTATGATTTTTATCTTTGGGTTTGTTATGTGCTTTTTATCTTTGGTTTGTTATATGATTTTTTATCTTTGGTTTTGTTATCTATGATTTTTTATCTTTGGTTTTGTTATCTATGATTTTTTATCTTTGGTTTTGTTATCTTTTTTTTCTTTCATTTTGTTATCTATGGTTTTGTATATCTATGATTTTTTATGTATTGATTTTGTTATCCAATGATATTGTTGTCTATGAAATCTCCCAAGGATAAAAATCAATTAAAATTAATTGAAAAACAACCATAGATCGTTTGTTTTTGATTTTTCGGACTTATCTTTAGCAGCACATTTTCAATGCTAGACGGATGAGAAATATATCAGGTGCGTATTCAAGAATTTGTCGCTGTGGGGGGGGGCTTAATTTTTTCTGG